TGAAGAAAGTTGTCAATAACAGTTTGTCGTTCATGTGTTTCATTTTGATCAGCTTTCATACTAAATTGCGTAGAATATTTTTCCGATTCAAAATCGAGATTCTCGATATTTCCACAGTTTATTTATAATACCTTCTAAACTGGATTTATCTATCATTTTATATACTTTATAATATATGTTCATGCCCTACTTTTCACTTTATTAACAATTTTTTTTTAACATACTTCAAAATGGTAGGATATTCTCAATTCGTTGAAATATTTTTTTATGTATGTTGAGCGATAATTCTTTACCACGTTGCCCGATTTCTAGGATTATTTTTGTTAGAAAAGGAAACAGTTTTATATACATTAAGTCAAGATCTGAAGATGGGATCCATAAGAAAATCATTAACATCTTTATTTTTAAAGTAGGTTTTTTTTTAAATTTCTTTAAACCTTACTGGTTCGAACGCGGTAAGGAATGAAGAAATGTAAATAATTGTTGTGCCAGCCAAAAAGCGAAGAGGAAGTACCGATTAAAATATCGAGTGACAGAAGAGTTCCTAAGATTGTTGAGATCGGGTTTATGTTTTAAAATGCCTTAAAACCGATATCGATAATGTCTCCCCGTCGCTGGGCAGCCTGTATATAAATATACAGCTCTCTATTTAAATAATTATAATTCTTAGGTAGGTTTAGATTTGCAGACATAAATCTTGTAATAAATATAACAGCTGCCCAATACATTGATTACATTTTCATTAGCCAATGTAAAAATGTCTTTTATTGTACCTAGGATTTGACTAAACACTACACAAAACTAAAAATAAAATGCCACTTTCATCGTGTAATTAATGCCGCGTTTGAGAATCCACATCGGATGCATTTTTTACATCTCGAACGTTTTTTATCCACATCGGACACATCTGTCCCATTACATTTACGTATACTGAATCACGTGATCAAAGATTTACTACTTACTACATCTCAGATGCATCCGATGTAGATTCTCAAACGCGGCATAAATAATAAACTACAAACGGTCCTGTAAGGGCAGCGTCATATAGCCTTGAAACACCGGATTTTAGTGCTATTGCCAGGTCAATATTGAATTTGTAGGTGAATCGCTTATTGAACATTAAAAATACGGTATTAATGACATTAATACGGTATTTGTATATATTTTTGGGAATGTAATTACACATAAATATTATTAGTTGATTATTTAAATGTGTATAAGTTATTTTGTGGCGATATTTCGTAGATATAAACTGTTTAAATCATATAATTTAAAAATTAATTAATTTAAAATTCTTTTCTGTTAGGTATGTTTAATATATTTGGCAACACTACAGGGACAAGTCATGCATATTGCGCAAGCTTCTAGACACACTATTTTGCGATGTCAGGCGCAGAGACGCGTTTTTATGCACAGTAGGTTTCAATTTCTGCTTAAATGTTATGTTTATATTGGTCTTCTATATTATTTCTATGCATGGATCCTAATATTTCCCATACGATAATGGTAAATTTAGAGATATTCGACACACTTATGTCGCTTTCTATGTATTTAAGGAGAAGCATCAGTTGTTGCCCCCCTAGTCCACCGAAATTAGACAAAAAATACCCTGTAACGAAATTTTTTTACGGCATAGAGACCCAGATTACATTAAAGGTTTTCTAAACTTCTTTTGGCAAAATTTCACTATGCACAGAGATGAGAATAATCAAAAGAAGGTAATATAGATATATAAATATAAACATTTTTCGGCGTCCTTTCCCCGTATTTTGTATTTTACTCAAAAACGATGCGTTTTCATGAAAAATTTGACTGGACTTTCTTTGAAGAACAAACGATTATGTCCTTGTACATTTTTTGACAAACTTCATATTTTTGCTCCAAAAAAACAACTATATGTATTTTGTTGACTTTACTCATTTTACATGAAAATGTTTCACTTTGGTGAACAATTTCATTAGAACAAAGTTGTAGAACAGAAAATTTTATACTTTTTTGTTATTTATTTAGTTTTTAATTTTTTTTTATATTTTTTAATTTTCAATAAATTTTTAATATCTTTTTTACAAATTTGTAATAAATTTTTTAAATATAAATCATTTATAATTTTTTTTTATTCATTTTTTATATTTTCTTCTAATGCATTTTTACAAATTTTTAATTAATTTTTTACACTAATAAATTTTTAAGAATTAATTCTATGAATTTATAAATTCTTTGCAATTTTTTTAGAAATTTTTTAGAAATTTTCTTTATAAACTCATTGTAAATTTAAAAATTCTTTATAAATTCTTTATAAATTCTTTATAAATTCTTTATAAATTCTTTATAAATTCTTTATAAATTCTTTATAAATTTTTTATAAATTCTTTATAAATTCTTTATAAATTCTTTATAAATTCTTTATAAATTCTTTATAAATTCTTTATAAATTCTTTATAAATTCTTTATAAATTCTTTATAAATTCTTTATAAATTCTTTATAATTTCTTTATTAATTCTTAATAGATTTTTTTTATAAATTCTTTAGAAAGTTTCTTTATAAACTCATTATAAATTCTTTATACATTCTTTATAAATTCTTTATAAATTCTTTATAAATTCTTTATAAATTCTTTATAAATTCTTTATAAATTCTTTATAAATTCTTTATAAATTCTTTATAAATTCTTTATAAATTCTTTATAAATTCTTTATAAATTCTTTATAAATTCTTTATAAATTCTTTATAAATTCTTTTCTTTATAAATTCTTTATAGATTTTTTACAAATTCTTTACAATTTTTTTAGATTTTTTTATAAATTCTTTATAAATTCTTCATACATTTTTTATAACTTCTTTATAAATTCTTAATAGATTTTTTATAATTCTTTATAACTTCTTTATCAATTCTTAATAGATTTTTTTATAAATTCTTTACAATTTCTTTAAAAAAATTTTTTATAAACTCATTATAAATTTTTTATAAATTCTTTATAATTTTTTTATAAATTCTTTATAAATTCTTAATAGATTTTTTATAAATTCTTTATACATTCTTTACAATTTTTTTAGATTTTTTTTTATAAATTATTTATAAATTCTTTATAAATTATTTATAAATTCTTTATAAATTCTTTATAAATTCTTTATAAATTTTTTATAAATTCTTTATAATTTTTTTATAAATTCTTTATAAATTCTTAATAGATTTTTTATAAATTCTTTATACATTCTTTACAATTTTTTTAGATTTTTTTTTATAAATTATTTATAAATTCTTTATAAATTATTTATAAATTATTTATAAATTATTTATAAATTATTTATAAATTCTTTATAAATTCTTTATAAATTCTTTATAAATTCTTTATAAATTCTTTATAAATTCTTTATAAATTCTTTATAAATTCTTTATAAATTCTTTATAAATTCTTTATAAATTCTTTATAAATTTTTTATAAATTCTTTATAAATTCTTTATAAATTCTTTATCAATTCTTTATAAATTATTTATAAATTCTTTATAAATTCCTTATAAATTCTTTTTTTATAAATTTTTTATATATTCTTTATAAATTTGTTATAAATTTTTAATTATTTTTATAAATTTATAAAAAAATGTATGAAAAAGTACATACAATATACATTTTTTTTTATAAATTTTTGACTCTTATTTTTTGTAAATTTTTAATTTATTTTTTATATATTTTTATAAATTTATAAAAAAAGTGAAAAAAAAAAATATATAAAAAAGTTCATAAACTATAAAAAAATGTATTAAAAAGTAAAAAAAAAATGTATAAAAAGGTGAAAACAAAAATGTATAAAGAATTAATTCATAAAAAATAAAGATCTTTATAAAAAAATTTATTAGTTTAAAAATTTAATTTATTTTTTATAATTTTTTGACTGATATATTATTCATAAATTTTTAATTAATTTTTTATTTATTTTTATAAATTTATAAAAAAATTAATAAAAATATGTATAAAAAAGTAAAAAATGTGTGAAAAAGAATTACAAAAAATTAAAAAAAATATATAAAGAAATATTTAAAAAAGGTCAAAAAACATAAAAAAAATTTATAAAAAAGTGAAAACAAAAATATATGAAAAGGTAAAAACAAAAATGTGTATAGAATTAATTCATAAAAAATTTTTAAAAATAATATATTAATATGTTTAAAAATTTGGTACAATTTTAAAAAACAAAAAAAAATTATTAAATACTTAATAAAAATTATAAAAATAAAAAATGTATAAAGAATTTGTAAAAAAAAAATAAAAACAAAAAATCAAATATAAATAAATTAAAAAAAAAATATAATAAAAAAATCATAAAATCATTCAAGTTTTATCAAAAATTTCCACTTGTAGACTGTAGTGTAGTTGCAACACTATGGATTGTGGAATTTAACTAAACATTCATTTTCTTTCTTTATGAACAATAAGAAACGGTGGGTTTCCAGAAAATCTGTTTCATAAATTCCATAGGAAATTTTCTGCTCTACAACTTTGCTCTAATGAAATTTTCCACTAAAATGCGTGATTTTTATGTAAAATGTGAAAAACCGCAAAATATATACATTTATTCTTCTCCGCGCGCTCTAGCGGCAAAAATATGAAATTTAGCAAAAAAATTTATAAACATAATCGATAGAAAATCGTTTGTTCTTCATATTAACGCAGCGTTTTTGAATAAAATCCAAAAAACTGGATGGAAAAACGTATATATGTGTATATAATGACCTTTTTTATATTATTTTCATCTCTAAACATGGTAAAATATTGTGAAAATAAATCAAAACCTTTATTGTCATCTGGGTATCTATGCTGTACTAATTTCGCCTTAAAAATCCTAATTCCGGTGGATCAGAAATAATTTTGGCGCAGAAGAAAATGTTAAAATGACAATGATGTTATGATTGCCGAATGGTACGAAGAAACTGGACAAAATTTCTTCATGTGCTACAAGTGCTTTAGGATTAAGGAAGATTGTGTCGAAAACAAAAGTAATGTTAATATTATAAATAATATTTATTTTAAAACGGAAATGATAAAAGAAAAACGTTTTCCTAATATTTTATTACTTAAACAATTAAGATATATATTCAACAAAAAAAAAAAAAAGAAATAAAAATACCAAAAATATCAAACTATAAAAAAATTATATAAATATACCAATTTCGCGACTTTTTTTAATTTTATTTTATATATTATTAGGCATTTGCTGCACCCGGTTGATTTTTAAATGTTTAATTATAAAAAAAAAACATTTTATTTTACATAATATTTTATGTAACACATTGCAGTATTCGGAAATAATACCAAATGGTATTTTTTTATTCAAACGTTTCGGCATTCAAATTATTCATCAAGAACAAATATAAAAAACCTTCAAATTGATTACAGGACATCTACGACTGAAGCCAATCAGAAATTAGAAGTAGAGGGAAAATGGGGAAGCAAAAGGAGCATTGCGATGGGAAATCAAAAGGAAGCGATGAAGGAATAAAAAAAAAATGCGGTGGGGGAATAATAGGATGTCATAAGGTATAAAAGAGATGTGATGAGGGCCAAAGAGATAATTGGTACAAGCTTTACAAAAAAGAAATAAGCCTCAAATAATTTGTTCTCTATCAATCATTGTAAACGCCTATTCACGAAACGCAATCATATTAAAAATGTTTAAAATTTAACCCTGAAAAACAAAAAAGTATATATATATATATATATATATATATATATATATATATATATATATATATATATATATACACTTAAAATCGTGTGCGCCTTGACGTTATATTTTATAAAAATTGAAAAAACAGTTTTTTACAACTAAAACGATAGTTGCGTATCGCTCGTTTAAAAATTAACTCACTCTACGCGATATTAAGGTATGTACGGTTGATGTAAAAGACGCTGCAATTATTGAACGTTTAAAACTTAACGGATTTAATCGGATATATGAAATAATCCGCGAATTCAATATCGTCATCGTCGTCGTAGTTGTATTCTCAGCTAGTACCTGTCGGTTTAGGCGTTTTGTCCTTTGGTCCCCAAACTCGGATCGTGCAGTCGTCCGAGACCGATACCAGCATGTGGTGGTAGACGGGGTTCCAGGACACACAATTGACGGTCCGAGTGTGTCCTTGAAGCGTCGCTATGGGTTGTTCGTTTCGTATGTGCCATATGTACACCTTGAACAAATTAAAATCGAAATTTTACAAATTTTTATATATATTTTAGTTTTTTATATATATATTTTTTTTTCAATAAACTTTTTAATAAATTTTTCATAATTTTTTACATTTTTTTATTATCCGTTTTTATAAGTTTTTTATAATTTATTTTTTTTTTTATAAAAATCTTATATAAATTAGAATAATTTGAAAATTCGGATAGAAATCTCAAATTTTTTTTTAATGTTTTATATATTTTGTATCAATTTTGAATCATGTTTTATAAATTTTTTATAAATTTTCATAATTTTTTACTTTTTTAAACATTTTTATTTTTTTATATACATTTTTAATAATTTTAAATTATTTTATTTTTTTATTTTTTTTTATAAAATATATAAATGTTTTGAAATTAAAATTGAAAATTCGAAAATAAATTTTTTTATAAATAATTTATAAAATTTATTCAATTTTGTATCAATTTTTATAGAATTTTAAATTTTTTAATATTTTTTTATAAATTATGTATAAACTTTGGTATCCATTTTGTATCAATTTTTATATTTTTATAATTTTTATAATTTTTATAATTTTTATAATTTTTATAATTTTTATAATTTTTATAATTTTTATAATTTTTATAACTTTTATAATTTTTATAATTTTTATAATTTTTATAATTTTTATAATTTTTATAATTTTTATAATTTTTATAATTTTTATAATTTTTATAATTTTTATAATTTTTATAATTTTTATAATTTTTATAATTTTTATAATTTTTATAATTTTTATAATTTTTATAATTTTTATAATTTTTATAATTTTTATAATTTTTATAATTTTTATAATTTTTATAATTTTTATAATTTTTATAATTTTTATAATTTTTATAATTTTTATAATTTTTATAATTTTTATAATTTTTATGATTTTTATAATTTTTATAATTTTTATAATTTTTATAATTTTTATAATTTTTATAATTTTTATAATTTTTATAATTTTTATAATTTTTATAATTTTTATAATTTTTATAATTTTTATAATTTTTATAATTTTTATAATTTTTATAATTTTTATAATTTTTATAATTTTTATAATTTTTATAATTTTTATAATTTTTATAATTTTTATAATTTTTATAATTTTTATAATTTTTATAATTTTTATAATTTTTATAATTTTTATAATTTTTATAATTTTTATAATTTTTATAATTTTTATAATTTTTATAATTTTTATAATTTTTATAATTTTTATAATTTTTATAATTTTTATAATTTTTATAATTTTTATGATTTTTATAATTTTTATAATTTTTATAATTTTTATAATTTTTATAATTTTTATAATTTTTATAATTTTTATAATTTTTATAATTTTTATAATTTTTATAATTTTTATAATTTTTATAATTTTTATAATTTTTATAATTTTTATAATTTTTATAATTTTTATAATTTTTATAATTTTTATAATTTTTATAATTTTTATAATTTTTATAATTTTTATAATTTTTATAATTTTTATAATTTTTATAATTTTTATAATTTTTATAATTTTTATAATTTTTATAATTTTTATAATTTTTATAATTTTTATAATTTTTATAATTTTTATAATTTTTATAATTTTTATAATTTTTATAATTTTTATAATTTTTATAATTTTTATAATTTTTATAATTTTTATAATTTTTATAATTTTTATGATTTTTATAATTTTTATAATTTTTATAATTTTTATAATTTTTATAATTTTTATAATTTTTATAATTTTTATAATTTTTATAATTTTTATAATTTTTATAATTTTTATAATTTTTATAATTTTTATAATTTTTATAATTTTTATAATTTTTATAATTTTTATAATTTTTATAATTTTTATAATTTTTATGATTTTTATGATTTTTATGATTTTTATAATTTTTATAATTTTTATAATTTTTATAATTTTTATAATTTTTATAATTTTTATAATTTTTATAATTTTTATAATTTTTATAATTTTTATAATTTTTATAATTTTTATAATTTTTATAATTTTTATAATTTTTATAATTTTTATAATTTTTATAATTTTTATAATTTTTATAATTTTTATAATTTTTATAATTTTTATAATTTTTATAATTTTTATAATTTTTATAATTTTTATAATTTTTATAATTTTTATAATTTTTATAATTTTTATAATTTTTATAATTTTTATAATTTTTATAATTTTTATAATTTTTATAATTTTTATAATTTTTATAATTTTTATAATTTTTATAATTTTTATAATTTTTATAATTTTTATAATTTTTATAATTTTTATAATTTTTATAATTTTTATAATTTTTATAATTTTTATAATTTTTATAATTTTTATAATTTTTATAATTTTTATAATTTTTATAATTTTTATAATTTTTATAATTTTTATAATTTTTATAATTTTTATAATTTTTATAATTTTTATAATTTTTATAATTTTTATAATTTTTATAATTTTTATAATTTTTATAATTTTTATAACTTTTATAATTTTTATAATTTTTTATAAATTTTTTATATTTTTTAAATTTTAACAAATTCTTTATCAATTTTTTATAACTTATTTATATATTTTTTTTAAAATTTGGTATCAATTTTTAACATTTTTTTTATAAATTTTGTATCAATTGTCAATTTTTAAATAAATTTCTTTTATAAATTTTTATAAATTCTTCATAAATTTTTTTATAAATTCTTCATAAATTTTTTGTAAATTCCTTTTAAATTTTTTATAAATTCTTCATAAATTCATTATAAATTCTTTATATATTCTTTATAAATTCTTTATACATTCTGTATAAATTCTTTATAATTCTTTATAAATTCTTTATAAATTCTTTATAAATTCTTTATAAATTCTTTATAAATTCTTTATAAATTCTTTATAAATTCTTTTTAAATTCTTAATAGATTCTTCATAAATTCTTTATAGATTCTTTATAAATTCTTTACAGATTCTTTATAAATTCTTTATAAATTCCTTATAAATTCTTTATAAATTGTTTATAAATTCCTTATAAATTCTTTATAGATTCTTCATAAATTATTTATAGGTTATTCATAAATTCTTTATAAATTCCTTATAAATTCGTCATAAATGTTTGTAAATTCCTCTTAAATTCTTCATAAATTCATTATAAATTCTTTATACATTTTTTACAAATTCTTTACAGATTCTTCATAATTTTTTTATAAATTCTTTATAGATTCTTCAAAAATTCTTTATAAATTCTTTATAGATTCTTCATAAATTCTTTATTAATTCTTTTTAAAATCTTTATAAATTCTTTATAAATTTTTTGTAAATTCCTTTTAAATTTTTTATAAATTCTTCATAAATTCTTTATATATTCTTTATAAATTCTTTACAGATTCTTCATAATTTTTTTATAAATTCTTTATAGATTCTTCACAAATTCTTTATTAATTCTTTTTAAAATCTTTTTAAAATCTTTATAAATTCTTTATAAATTCTTTATAAATTCTTTATAAATTCTTTATAAATTCTTTATAAATTCTTTATAAATTCTTTATAAATTCTTTATAAATTCTCTATAAATTCTTTATAAATTTTTTGTAAATTCCTTTTAAATTTTTTATAAATTCTTCATAAATTCATTATAAATTCTTTATACATTTTTTATAAATTCTTTACAGATTCTTCATAATTTTTTTATAAATTCTTTATAGATTCTTCAAAAATTCTTTATAAATTCTTTATAGATTCTTCATAAATTCTTTATAAATTCTTTATAAATTCTTTATAAATTCTTTATAAATTCTTTATAAATTCTTTATAAATTCTTTATAAATTCTTTATAAATTCTTTATAAATTCTTTATAAATTCTTTATAAATTCTTTATAAATTCTTTATAAATTCTTTATAAATTCTTTATAAATTCTTTATAAATTCTTTATAAATTCTTTATAAATTCTTTATAAATTCTTTATAAATTCTTTATAAATTCTTTATAAATTCTTTATAAATTCTTTATAAATTCTTTATAAATTCTTTATAAATTCTTTATAAATTCTTTATAAATTCTTTATAAATTCTTTATAAATTCTTTATAAATTCTTTATAAATTCTTTATAAATTCTTTATAAATTCTTTATAAATTCTTTATAAATTCATTATAAATTCTTTATAAATTCTTTATAAATTCTTTATAAATTCTTTATAAATTCTTTATAAATTCTTTATAAATTCTTTATAAATTCTTTATAAATTCTTTATAAATTCTTTACAGATTCTTCATAATTTTTTTATAAATTCTTTATAGATTCTTCACAAATTCTTTATTAATTCTTTTTAAAATCTTTTTAAAATCTTTATAAATTCTTTATAAATTCTTTATAAATTCTTTATAAATTCTTTATAAATTCTTTATAAATTCTTTATAAATTCTTTATAAATTCTTTATAAATTCTTTATAAATTCTCTATAAATTCTTTATAAATTTTTTGTAAATTCCTTTTAAATTTTTTATAAATTCTTCATAAATTCATTATAAATTCTTTATACATTTTTTATAAATTCTTTACAGATTCTTCATAATTTTTTTATAAATTCTTTATAGATTCTTCAAAAATTCTTTATAAATTCTTTATAGATTCTTCATAAATTCTTTATAAATTCTTTATAAATTCTTTATAAATTCTTTATAAATTCTTTATAAATTCTTTATAAAATTCTTTATAAATTCTTTATAAATTCTTTATAAATTCTTTATAAATTCTTTATAAATTCTTTATAAATTCTTTATAAATTCTTTATAAATTCTTTATAAATTCTTTATAAATTCTTTATAAATTCTTTATAAATTCTTTATAAATTCTTTATAAATTCTTTATAAATTCTTTATAAATTCTTTATAAATTCTTTATAAATTCTTTATAAATTCTTTATAAATTCTTTATAAATTCTTTATAAATTCTTTATAAATTCTTTATAAATTCTTTATAAATTCTTTATAAATTCTTTATAAATTCTTTATAAATTCTTTATAAATTCTTTATAAATTCTTTATAAATTCTTTATAAATTCTTCATAAATTTTTTGTAAATTCCTTTTAATTTTTTTATAAATTCTTCATAAATTCATTATAAATTCTTTATATATTCTTTATAAATTCTTTAAATTCTTTATACATTCTGTATAAATTCTTTATAATTCTTTATAAATTCTTTATAAATTCTTTATAAATTCTTTATAAATTCTTTATAAATTCTTTATAAATTCTTTATAAATTCTTTATAAATTCTTTTTAAATTCTTTACAGATTCTTTATAAATTCTTTATAAATTCCTTATAAATTCTTTATAAATTGTTTATAAATTCCTTATAAATTCTTTATAGATTCTTCATAAATTATTTATAGGTTATTCATAAATTCTTTATAAATTCCTTATAAATTCGTCATAAATTTTTGAAAATTCCTCTGAAATTCTTCATAAATTCATTATAAATTCTTTATACATTTTTTATAAATTCTTTACAGATTCTTCATAATTTTTTTATAAATTCTTTATAGATTCTTCAAAAATTCTTTATAAATTCTTTATAGATTCTTCATAAATTCTTTATTAATTCTTTATTAATTCTTTTTAAAATCTTTATAAATTCTTCATAAATTTTTTATAAATTCTTCATAAATTATTCATAAATTCTTTTTAAATTCAATTCTTTATAAATAAATTTTTTATAAATAAATTCTTTATAAATAAATTTTTTTATAAATAAATTCTTTATAAATAAAAAAAGATAATTTACCTGATTATCTTCGCTACCGCTGGCAATGAAATGTTGATTGACTCCGCCGAAAGTTGAATGGATTGTAAAATGTCCCTGAGTAACTCCCTGATATTTTCTAACTAGGCATCTGTCGTTTAAGTCCCATAGATGGACGCCTTGCGTCGCGACGTTTAAGAGAGCCAATCTGTCTTTCTTGTCCACCGTGAAAGACATTATCGGATGGTCTTCTTGGATGCTGCAATACCTTTTTGTTTTATTTTAAACTCTCTTATAAGCAATGAAAAATCTTATCAATTTCCTACGAAGAGGCCCAGTTTTGTTTTATTCCGACTTTAAACTCGAAATTACAAGATTAAAGTCAAAATTCTCAGTGTGAAGTCGAACTTTCGAATTCAAAATCGAAATTCCTGGTTTAAAAGTCGAAATATAGACTTTAACCTCCAAATTTCGACTTTAAAATAGACCAATTTTTCTTGTTTTGTTTTATTTTTGACGATTGACGAGTATAAAGACGAAATTTCGAGATTTAAGAGGAAATTTCGAGATTTAAGTCGAAATTCCAGTTATAAAGTCGATATTTCGAATTTTAAAGTAAAAAATTTCGACTTTAAAGAGGCCCAGTTTTGTTTTATTCCGACTTTAAACTCGAAATTACAAGATTGAAGTCAAAATTCTGAGTGTGAAGTCGAACTTTCGAATTCAAAATCGAAATTCCTAGTTAAAAAGTCGAAATATAGACTTTAATCTCCAAATTTCGACTTTAAAATCGACCAATTTTCTTGTTTTGTTTTATTTTTGATGATTGACAAGTTTAAATACGAAATTTCGAGATTGAAGTCGAAATTCCAGGTATAAAGTCGATATTTTGAATTTTAAAGTCGAAATTTAAACTTTAAAGAGTCCGTTTTGATTTATTTTTGAGGAAATTTCGAAAATTAAAGTAAAAATTCTGAGTTTAAAGTCAAATTTCCGAGTTTACAGCCGAAATTCCGAGTTTTAAGTCGAAATTCAGAGTTAAAGTCAAAATTTCAAGTTTAAAGTCGAAATTTCAACATTAATTTCAAAATATCAACTTTAGAAATACGAAATTTCGAGATTTAAGTCGAAATTCCAGGTATAAAGTCGATATTTTGAATTTTAAAGTCGAAATTTAAACTTTAAAGAGCCCGTTTTGTTTTATTTTTGAGGAAATTTCGAAAATTAAAGTAAAAATTCTGAGTTTAAAGTCAAATTTCCGAGTTTACAGCCGAAATTCCGAGTTTTAAGTCGAAATTCAGAGTTAAAGTCAAAATTTCAAGTTTAAAGTCGAAATTTCAACATTAATTTCAAAATATCAACTTTTAGAAATACGAAATTTCGAGATTTAAGTCGAAATTCCAGGTAATAAAGTCGATATTTTGAATTTTAAAGTCGAAATTTCAACTTTAAAGAGCCCGTTTTGTTTTATTTTTGAGGAAATTTCGAAAATTAAAGTCAAATTTCTGAGTTTAAAGTCAAATTTCCGAGTTTACAACCGAAATTCCGAGTTTTAAGTCGAAATTCAGAGTTAAAGTCAAAATTTCAAGTTTAAAGTCGAAATTTCAACATTAATTTCAAAATATCAACTTTAAAGTAGACCAATTTTGTTGTTTCATTTTATTGTTGATGATCGACTATATTAAAGTCGAAATTCTGAGAATTAAAGTCGAAATTTCAAGTTAAAAGTTGAAATTCCAAATTTAAAGTCGAAATTTCGAAATTAAATGTCGAAATTTAAAGTTAAAGTCTAAATTTCGACTTTAAAATAGACGAATTGTTATATTTTATTTTTGACGAGTTTAAAGTCGTAATTTCGAGATTAAAGATGCAATTTCGAGTTTAAAGTCGACCAATTTTCATGTTTGGTTTTATTTTTGACTATTAAAGAGTTTTATAAAGTCGGAATTAAGTCAAATTTCCGAGTAGTATAAATTTTGATATTAGAGTCGACCAATTTAATTGTTTAATTTTTTTTTTTTTTGATTGACGAGTTTAAAGTCGAACTTTCGAGTTTAAAAATTAAAATTTCAAGTTTAAAGTCCAAATTTCTAAATTAATTTCGGAATTTCGATTTTTAAAGTAGACCAATTTTGTTATAGTTTATTTTTGATAAGTTTAAAGTCGTAATTTCGATATTAAAGTCGAAATTCCGAGCAAAGTCGACCAATTTTCTTGTTTTATTTTTGACGATTGACTAGTTTAAAGTCGAAATTACGAATTTAATCTCGAAATTACGACTTTAAAGTAGACCATCTTTTTGTTTTGTACAATTTTTCACAATTGACGAGTTTGATCTGAAAATTTTGACTTTAATCTCGATATTATGACTTTAATCTCGAAATTCCGAATGTAAAATTGAAATTTCAACATTTATCTCGTAGTTGCGACTTTAAAGTCAATCATTCTGTTTATTTGTTTTATTTTTGACAACTTACGAGTTTAAAAGTCCGAATTCCGAGTTTAAAGTCAAAATTCCGTTTTTAAAGTCGAAATTTCGATTTTACCCTCGATAAAAAAAAATTTAGATCATGTGACTCTAATACGCCTTCGTAATTTCCTACAGACGACAAATTAAAACAGGTTTTAACACAGACGATTTTTTCGAAAGAAACTTTTTTAATACTTACATTTGTTGGTCGGCCACCTCTTCGAAAACGTAGCCTCTAATTCGATGATGAGTATCCGAAGCTAAAACGGTTTTACCGTCTTGTCTGCACCACAAACCGTTGACTCTGACCCCTTCCCAGGAGTCCAAAACGTTGCCTTTTAGGTCGCATTGGTAGAAATGTCCTCTGACGCCACCAACCTAGAAAGAAACGAGTTTATTACTCTCTTCTGCCACCGAAAAGTAGTTTAATTAAAGCCATAAGGGCCGATTTAATAATGAATATTAAGAGAACCATTAACTAATGGGGACAATTAAGTCCATAAGGGCCGATTTTATAAAGAATATTAAGAGATCCGTTGGCTAATAGGAGCAATTAAATTCATAAGGGTCGATTTCATGAAGAATAATAATAGTTAAAGGATCAGTTAATAGATCCATTAGTTAATAAATCCATAAGTCAATAGATTCATTAGTTAATAAATATTAGTAAAACCATTAGTTAATGAATCAGTTAATAGATCTATTAGGTAATAAATATTAATAGTATCATTAGTTACTAAATATTAATAGATCCATTAGTTAATAAATATTAATAGATCCATTAGTTATTAAATATTAATATATACATTAGTTAATAAATATTAATATATACATTAGTTATTAAATATTAATAGATACATTAGTTAATAAATATTAATAGATCCATTAGTTAATAAATATTAATAGATCAATTAGTTAATAATTATTAATAGATAAATTAGTTAATAAAAATTAATAGATCCATTAGTTAATAGATATTAATAGATATTGATAGATCCATTAGTTCAAAAATATTTAAATGTCCATTAGTTAATAAATATTAATAGATCCATTAGTGAATAAAAATATTAATAGATCCATTAGTTAATAAATATTAAAAGATCCATTAGTTAATAAATATTAAAAGATCCATTAGTTAATAAATATTAAAAGATCCATTAGTTAATGGATCTTTTAATATTTATTACGAAATCGGCCCTTAAAATCCGTTTTTTCTTTATACTTACGACAAATTTGGTGCCGTCTTTGTTCCAGGCGCAGCAGACGAGAGCGTCCTCTTGCGACTGCGTAACTTTTAAGAAATTTTCGGTTTCTATGTTCCACAACCAAACTTCCGGACTCTCGTCGGGACCGCAAGCGATCAGATGCGTCGAATCCGGATTCCATGATATGTAAGCGGCGCCTAAAAAAAAATCTATAACGAATGTGAACCGAAGTTGCCATTTTGTACGCGATATTTCGCACCTAATAAGAAATAATGAAGAAAGAAGAAATGAAGAAAAAAATAAGAAAAATAAAGAAAAAATAAAGAAGTAATGAGGGAAGTACTGAGGAAGAAATGAAGAAGAACTGAAGAAGTAATGAAGAAGAAATGAAGAAGTAATGAAGAAGAAATGAAGAAGAAATGAAGAAGAAATGAAGAAGAAATGAAGAAGAAATGAAGAAGAAATGAAGAAGAAATGAAGAAGCAATGAAAAATTAAGAAGAAATTAAGAATACAGAAGAAATAAGAAAAAGCAGAAATATATATTTTTTAAATTTCTTACATTTTTTATAAATCTTAAATAATTTTTTTTATATAAAATTTTACATTTTTTTTGGTTTTTTAATAAATATATCAATTTTTAATTTTTCATGTTTTTTAAATTTTTTTTATAAATTTTTTATAAATTTTCATTAGTTTTATATTTTTTATATTATTTCCAAAATTTTTATATATTCTTTATAAACTTTTTTAAATTTTGTATCAATTCTTATTTTTTTTATTTCTTTTTATAAATTTTGTATCAATTCTTATTTTTTTATAAATCTTTTTATAAATTTTATATCAATTTTTCATATTTTTTTATAATTTGTTTAAAATTTTTTATAAATTTTTTATAATCCTATATAAATAATTTATAAAACTTTTTTAAATTTTGCATCAATTTTTTAAATAAATTTTATATCAATTTTTCATAATTTTTTAATTTTTTTTATAATTTTTTATAAATCTTATATAAATTTAAAGACAATTTAAAGAAAATTTGAAGAAAACTTGAAGACAATTTCGAAGTAAACTTGAAGACAGCTTGAAGACAACTTAAAAACAACTTGAAGACAATTTGAAGACAATTTGAAGACAATTTGAAGACAATTTGAAGACAATTTGAAGACAATTTGAAGACAATTTGAAGACAATTTGAAGACAATTTGAAGACAATTTGAAGACAATTTGAAGACAATTTGAAGACAATTTGAAGACAATTTGAAGACAATTTGAAGACAATTTGAAGACAATTTGAAGACAACTTGAAGACAACTTGAAGACAACTTGAAAACAATTTGAAGACAATTTAAAGAAAATTTGAAGAAAACTTGAAGACAATTTGAGGAAAACTTGAGAATAACTTGAAAACAATTTTAAAACAATTTAAAGACAATTGAAAGACATCTTGAAGATAATTTGAAGAGAACTTGAAGGCACTTGGAAGACAATTTGAAAAAAACTTGAAGACAACTGAAAAACAATTTGAAGACAATTTGAAGACAATTTGAAGACAATTTGAAGACAATTTGAAGGCAATTTGAAGAAAATTTGAAGAAAATTTGAAGAAAATTTGAAGATAATTTGAAGACAATTTGAAGAAAACTTGAAGACAACTAGGAAGACAACTTGAAAACTTTAAAGACAATTTGAAGGAAACTTAAAGATAATTTGAAGACAACTTGAAGACAACTTGAAAACAATTTGAAGACAACTTGAAGAAAACTTGAAGACAAGTTCTATAATTTTTTTATCAATTATCAATTTTTATATTTTTTAAAAATTTGTATAAATAGAAATAAAGAAGAAATAAACAAATATGAAATAAAGAAGCAATAAATTGGAAATAAAGATAAATAAATAAGAAATATAAATTAAAGAAATAAATAACATTGAAATAAATAAAGAATCGGAAAATAAAGAAGAAATAACGAATAAGAAGTAAAAAATAAAGAAGCATAAACAATATATGCATATTCTATCAGAGCTATTCTATCATAATAGTTTATTTCAGAAAGAAAATTATTACAGACATTTTTATGGTATCTACGTGACATTGGCAGAGTCTAGTGAAAAAGTATGGTTATATACTTACCGGTGTTGTGCCCTTCCAATATTTTCTTGAGAGACAGAGTACACGTTTCCGGATCGACGTCCCAGATAATGACATTTTGGTCCTTCGAACCCGTCGCTAATTTGGTACCGTCCGGCGAGAAGGTACAAAACCATACTTCGTCGCAATGATCGTTTAGTACCTGAGAATAGAAGATTATACTACAAAAGTGCTTTGTAAACATAGTTTTTCTACGACCAATCTTTTTAGAGTGTTCTATAGTTAAAATTCAATAAAATCGATGAATTTTCACATTTTTAGAGTAAAAATGTCTCCACGCTTACCGGATACGCACACGATATGCATTTTAGAGATATTTTAACAATCGATTATTTTTTGCAATCGATTATTTTTTACTATTAATACTCTTTAAAATTGAATATTTTTAATAAACGATTATTTTTTACAATCGATTCTTTTTAACAATCGATTCTTTTTAACAATCGATTCTTTTTTAACGGTAGCCCGGCAGTACAGATTCGACTAAATCACTTACCTGTATAGTATGAATAGGAAAAGAGGCTTTAGGGCAGCTGTGGTCGACGAGTAACGAGGCTTCTGGCAGCGAAACCCCGTGTGACGTATTATGAAGGCTGCATCGAAGCGCTTGGAGTTCTAAAGCTTGATTCAATAATTCGTGAAGTCTACTAGGCGGTAACATGATCGACGGTGGTAAGTAACTTTGCAGTTTGTTCATTAAAGTCACTCGAGATTGCGTGCCCTTTCCCGTCCTAAAACAAAAGTAAATTTGAAGACAATTTCAAGAAACTTGAAGACAATTTGAAGAGAACTTGAAGGCACCTTGAAGACAATTTGAAAAAACTTGAAGAAAATAAGAAAACTTGAAGAAAATAAGAAAACTTGAAGAAAATAAGTAAACTTAAAGACAAATTGGAAGACAACTTGAAGACAATTTGAAGACAATTTGAAGACAATTTGAAGACAATTTGAAGACAATTTGAAGACAATTTGAAGACAATTTGAAGACAATTTGAAGACAATTTGAAGACAATTTGAAGACAATTTGAAGACAATTTGAAGACAATTTGAAGACAATTTGAAGAAAACTTAAAGAAAACTTGAAGACAATTTGATGACAATTTGAAGACAATTTAATGACAATTTAATGACAATTTAATGACAATTGAATGACAATTTTATGACAATTTTATGACAATTTTATGACAATTTTATGACAATTTTATGACAATTTTATGACAATTTTATGACAATTTTATGACAATTTTATGACAATTTTATGACAATTTGATGACAATTTGAAGACAATTTAATGTTAATTTTATGACAATTTGAAGAGAACTTGAAAACGCCTTGAAGACAATTTAAAGAAAACTTGAAGACAATTTGAAGACAACTTAAAGACAACTTGAAAACAATTTGAAGATAATTTGAAGACACTTTGAAGACAATTTGAAGAGAACTTGAAAACACCTTGAAGACAATTTGAAGAAAACTTGAAGACAACTTGAGAACAATTTGAAGACACTTTGAAGTCAACTAGGAAGACAACTTGGAAGACAATTTGAAGGCAACTTGAAGACAACTTAAAAACAACTTGAAGACAATTTGAAAACAATTTTAAGACAATTTGAAAGAAATTTGAAGAGAATTCACAAAAACAAGGAAAGTAAAGTTAATGCTTACCAGTTTGTACGTTCAAGCAACTCTTCCGTATTAGAGCACATCATAAAACTGGACAGTTGATGAACTCTCGCTGTGTTGTGCTGTAAAGGAGTCAACTCGTTCCTTAACACGTGCAGCGCATCAAGAACGCGTCCATCTTCTAAATATTCCAGATATTTTTGTTCTAGTATCAAGAATCTCATCTCCTAAAATGTAGGTGGATCATAAATTTCAAAACATTTTTAAAATTGATTTTTTTAGAAAAAATATTGTTGATAAAAGGAGATGCTTTATTTAAAACATGGAACTTAAAAATGGAACTTATATGGAATTTAAAACATAGAATTTGAATTTTAAAGATGGAATTTAAATTAAAACGTGGAAATAAAAACGTGAAACTTTAAACATGGAACTTTATTAATGTAACTTAAAATATGGAATTTAAAACATGGAATTTAAAACATGGAATTTAAAACACGGAATTTAAAACACACAATTTAAATCATGGTACTTAAAACACGGAATTTAAAACATGGAACCTAAAACATGTAACTAAAAAAGTGAAAGTTAAAACATGGAGCTAACCACATGGATTTTAAGACATGGAACTTAAAACATGGATCTCAAAACATGAAATTAAAACGGACCCTAAAAAATGGAAATTAAAACATGGAATTTAAATGGAACTTAAAACATGGAGCTAAAAACATGGACTTTAAAACATGAACTATAAAACATAAAATTCAAAACATGTAACTTAAAACATGGAATTAAAAACATGTAACTAAAAAAAGTGGAACTTAAAACAAGGAGCTAAAAACATGGATTTTAAGACATGAAATTTAAAACGGAACCTAAAAAATGGAAATTAAAACATGACATTTAAATGGAAGTAAAAAACTGGAACTTAAAATATAGAGCTAAAAACATGGAACTTAAAACATGAACTATAAAACATAAAATTCAAAACATGTAACTTAAAACATAGAATTTAAAACATGTAACTAAAAAAAGTGGAACTTAAAACATGGAGCTAAAAACATGAATTTTAAGACATGAAATTTAAAACGGAACCTAAAAAATGGAAATTAAAACATGACATTTAAATGGAAGTAAAAAACTGGAACTTAAAATATAGAGCTAAAAACATGGAACTTAAGACATGAACTATAAAACATAAAATTCAAAACATGGAACTTAAAAAATGGAACATCAAACATGCAACTTTTAAAACAAAAACAAAATTCCACTTATATGAAAAACAAAAAAAAAATATATAAAAAACTTAAAATTTACGCCATATAATAAGAAATCACAGTATTCTATTTCAAATCGATATTTTTTCGCTTGTTAACGAACAGATTTTAAGGTAATTTTTAATACTACTTCGCTCTCACCATGATGTTCGTATCTTGACCCAAAAGAGGACGTATCTCCTGCAAATCATGATCGGCCTTCGACCAATCGCCGTCGATTACGTGTTGACGGAATTTAGCGGCTGCGGGATGATCCAAACGACAACCAGATTCGCTCATTAAAGACTCGCATGTTTTACTGAAAATTCAGAACTCATAAAAGTTGTACAGAGTTGTTCATTAAATTATAAATTACCTAATATTTGTCAAGTTGTATGGGTATGAGAAAATTTTATTAATTAAAATAGTTTTAAAAATACAGTGTCGACATAGGGCCACGGGACCACACCTTTATTTAAATAAACACCCTTTAAAACCTTAAAAAATTCAAACAAGCCTAGTATCGACCTGAAAATTCATAATCTCTCTCGTGGTACCTTCAAGCTTGAAAAAATCATCATCGACATAGGGCCATGGGAACCACCCCTTTATTGAAATAAACGCACCCCTCAGAATCTAAAAATATTCAAACAAGCCTAGTATCGACCTGAAAATTCGTGGCAATCTTTCTCGTGACACCTTCAGGCTTGAAAAAATCATCATCGACATAGGGCCACGGGAACTACCCCTTTACTTCAATAAACACACCCTCTAAAACCTTAGACAAGTCAAAAAAATCAAAAACAAGCCTAGTATCAACCTGAAAATTTATAATAATCTCTCTCGTGGTACCTTTAAGCTTGAAAAAAATCATCATCGACATAGGGCCACGAGAACCACCCCTTTATTGAAATAAACACATCCCTTAAAATCTAAAAAAATTCAAAAAATCCAAACAAGCCTAGTATCGACCTGAAAATTCGTGGCAATCCCTCTCGTGGTACCTTGAAGCTAGAAAAAAATCATCATCGACATAGGGCCACGGTAACCACCCCTTTATTTAAATAAACACACCCCTTAGAATCTAAAAAAATTCAAAAAAATTTAAACAAGCCTAGTATCGACCTGAAAATTTATAATAATCTCTCTCGTGGTACCTTCAAGCTTGAAAAAAATCATCATCGCTATAGGGCCACGGAAACCACCCCTTTATTTAAATAAACACCTTTCAAAACCTTAAAAAATTCAACAAATGTTTACTATCTCTACGAATTTTCAGGTCGATACTAGGCTTGTTTGAATTTTTGTGAATTTTTTAAATTCTGAGGGGTGTGTTTATTTCAATAAAGGGGTGGTTCCCGTGGCCCTATGTCGATGATGATTTTTTTCTAGCTTTAAGGAACCACGAGAGGGATTGCTACGAATTTTCAGGTCGATACTAGGCTTGTTTGAATTTTTTTGAATTTTTTAAGGTTTTAAAGGGTGTGTTTTTTTAATTAAAGGGGTGGTTCCCGTGGCCCTATGTCGATGATGATTTTTTCAAGCTTGAATATACCACGAGAGAGATTATTATAAATTTTCAGGTCAATACTAAGCATGTTTGAATTTTTTTGAATTGTCTAAGGTTTTAGATGGTGCGTTTATTCAAGTAAAGGGGTGGTTCCCGTGGTCCTATGTTGATGATGATTTTTTTCTAGCTTGAAGGTGTCAAGAGAGAAATTATTATAAATGTTCAGGTCGATACTAGGCTTGTTTGAATTTATTTGAATTTTTTTTTGATTCTAAGGGGTGTGTTTATTTAAATAAAGGGGTGGTTCCCGTGGCCGTATGTCGATGATGATTTTTTTATAGCTTCAAGGTACCACGAGAGAGATTATTATAAATTTTCAGGTCGATACTAGGCTTGTTTGAATTTATTTGAATTTTTTAAGGTTTTAGAGGATGTGTTTATTCAAGTAAAGGGGTGGTTCCCGTGGTCCTATGTTGATGATGATTTTTTTCTAGCTTGAAGGTGTCAAGAGAGAAATTATTATAAATGTTCAGGTCGATACTAGGCTTGTTTGAATTTATTTGAATTTTTTTTTGATTCTAAGGGGTGTGTTTATTTAAATAAAGGGGTGGTTCCCGTGGCCGTATGTCGATGATGATTTTTTTATAGCTTCAAGGTACCACGAGAGAGATTATTATAAATTTTCAGGTCGATACTAGGCTTGTTTGAATTTATTTGAATTTTTTAAGGTTTTAGAGGATGTGTTTATTCAAGTAAAGGGGTGGTGCCCGTGGCCCAATGTCGATGATGATTTTTTTTTAGCTTGAAGGTGTCACTAGAGGCATTGCTACGAATTTTCAGGTCTATAGTAGGCTTGTTTGAATTTTTTTGAATTTTTTAAGGTTTTAAAGGGTGTGTTTATTTAAGTAAAGGGGTGATTCCCGAGGCCCAATGTCGATGATGATTTTTTTTAGCTTGAAGGTATCACGAGAAAGATTGCCACGAATTTTCAAGTCGATACTAGGCTTGTTTGAATGTTTTTGAATTTTTTAAGGTTTTAAAGGGTGTTTATTTAAATAAAGGGGTGGTTCCCGTGGCCCTACGTCGATAATGATTTTTTTCTAGCCTTTGTTTAGCACGAGGAAGATTCTCTAGCATTTCTAGGACGATATTACCCCTGATTATGTTTCTTTGTAGTTTCTACATCTTGACAGGGTGAGTTTATCTAAGTGTAGGGGCTAATTTCGGGTTTGTCAGCAAAATATAATTTTGTCTACCTTTTGGTAACCGCAGGTAAGCTATGTGATGATTTCTAACGAGATGATAGCCAATCCTTGAAATTTTTTTTTATATTTTCTTTAAAAAAAAAACGCTTCAGGTACATTGATTTTTATCCTGTTTTACAAACTGGAACGACGTAAATCTTGCTTTGATGTTTTTTGTCACTCATGTTACTTGTACTCAGGTAATTTTTTTCACATTATTTTCATTCATTTCACTAATTTTTTTAAAAAATCACTTCATTTTACATTGGTTTACATAGAAAATTGACACCGCTGTTATTCAACTTGCCAACTACAGTCAATTTTGCGAACTTTATAAAAAGAAGGATGGAAATTTGAAATCTGACCATTGCCAATTCACCTCCTTCTCTCTAGTCTTCATAGTGTCATGAATTCCTAATCCGACCCTGTATACGCACGCAATCAACTCGTGATCGAAGCAACGCTGACGTGTAGAAACAGCCGGACCGCGTCTCGAATGTACAAGAATACGACGGAATGTATGCCGCTGATGCACTGGAAGCGACTGGAATGGCGGAGAGTGCCGCTTAGTCATAAAAAGGAATGTTCGAGAGCCTCTCGTATCTTCCAGTAGTTTAGTTTAATATAGAACGTTGTATTGAAAAGTTAAAGTGAAATAAATTGTAAATAGTGTATTTTTAAATAAATAAACTTTAAATAAATTAGACTTTCGTCACAATAGTTACGACTCTAAGCCACGCCTAATGCGATGTTCTATTTACTTGCGAAATAATGTTTATAGCGCTTCTTTATAATACTACCACAATGGTATGAATCAAAATATGTATAGACAAAAAGAAAACGAACCTTGACTGGTCATGGGAACCAGCCTTATCTGAAATTTCTGAAGTTATTGTCACTAATAGGAATCACATTATTGATATTTATAATTCATCAGATGAGGATATACTAATATTAATGATAAAATCTGTTTATTTTTAATATTAGAGTTATAAATGTTATAATAAAAGGTTTGTTGTTTAGAATTTAAAATATATGTTTTTAATTATGTGTTTGTATTAAAATATTAATATTAATAAAATAATGTTAAAATCTATTTATTTAATTAATTATTTTTCTTTTTAATTTGAGTAAGAATAAACGGTTTTATTGTTTATTATATAGGTTTTTCTTAATGTGTTTGTGTTAAAATTTAAAATATAGTTTTTGCAAGAACCAATACTGTTTTTGAATTAAATAATTACATTTTAAAAATGATATATATGTGATATGAGATTTTTATATCATGATATTTTTTTTGAACCCTGCTTAGTGCTAACTTCACGGACGTAAACCAAAGTAATACTGAAAATAACAAAGAATAGTACAAGATTGTGTGTGTAGGGAGCATGGATTATATACTATTGTATATCCATCAATCAAAATCAACTTGGAACTGTACAAAAAGAATATTCCATATTTAAGATGTTTCTTTTCCTTATTTTTGTGGTAAAAAATTCGATTTGGGAAAATTCCCACAGGTTGCCAACACTGATTATTTTTTTCTTATCACTGATTATGTTTTTCTCATCAGAAATACTTTTTAAAGGTTTTACCTTGTGTTTGCTGCCTAAAGGCTAAAAATTCTAATTGGAGTAATGTTTATCTGCAAAATAGTAACTAAAAAATGTATTCAAAGTTTTACTATTGCTAGATTTTTCAAAAAATAAAAAAAAAATATACAATGAGGATAATCATTTTTTCTTTATCTGACAAAATATTTGATTAAAAAATAATGTGCATTATTTACTTTGTTACTATTCATGGTTTTTATACATGATACATGTATTATTTGGGTGTCAAGGTTATTTTGAAGGAAATATTAACAAATTACTTATCATTATCACGACTGAAACAAATGTTAAAAATAAAATGATTTTTTTTATTAATTAAATTAAATAAACGTGTGACGGCCTCTTAGCCACTCCGCAATTAAAATGCATAAAAATTAAAAATCTAAAAATGACTTGCATATTGCAACCATCTAAAAATCCTATTTTTATACACCAGCAATGAAAATACGATACATATTAATAAAAGAAAATAATCATGTTTATTTTAAAATACGGAAATTGATTTTAGAGGTCATTAACTTACGTCAATCCTTCATTTTTAAGGTACTGTCCAATCAGTCTTACAATTTCTTGGTTGGTTTGATTAAGGAAAAATCCATTATTCTCCGCAGTATCGCCGTGTCCATTTTCGGCGGCACCGTTACTGCAAGACGGTGCCCCATTTTGTTGCACCTGCACCAATCCGTTGCTGGATTGCATCTTTTCGTTTTTAGCTGTTGTAGTCCTTCGGGTTTTTTTACGCGGCGGTTGTCCACCGTCGTCCCCCGATGAGTCACTATCCAGACTTATTTTTGAAATTCGCTTCACCTTCTTGCTTTCCAGATTTGATTATCTTTGGACAAAAAATATCGAGCTCTTTCTTTGTCTTCACGAATACATTTACTTATTACGTCATTAGCGATTTTTTAATTGGGGTAAATACTACAGAATCATACGCTTTTATTTAAGAGGCATCCTATTTTATTCACGGTTTTAGCGAAATGTTTAATATAGCACAGTAGATAAAATGTATGTCACATCGAATATACCACCCAAAAACAAACATCAGCTGAAACTGTCTACAAACAGCTGGTAAATTTGACCTCGAATGAGAAATGAAAACAGAAACGAAAGAGAACAACAAAGGAAAGTTAAATTACGCAAGCGCATTTGGTCACTACGATAATTATGGAGGATATTTCCTTTTTACATTACCCTTGTTCCTCAGATAATTAATTTGTTGAATTTATTCCGTATCCGTAAATCAAATCAATCGAACTGACAACCTTGTATTTAGTTTTGAGCACAATGTTTTGAGATGAGTTGTTTGTGTTGTGCTTTGTGCTCTGCTTTTTGCCTTGCTGCAGTGCTATCATAGACCATATATAGTCATAGACCTCAGAAACCTTGTATCTAAAATGTAACTCAAATCAGTTCATTGATAATTTCATTTATTATTAAGTTCCATTCACACTTTTTACTCAAAATTACTCTTTTAATAATTGAGAGACAGAAAATAAGTTTATTGTTTGATAAATAAATGATATATAAGAACTTACTTTTACGCATGATTAATTTAGGCAACATGGTAGGAACGTTTTATTGTTTTCAGGAAGAAACCATCTTGGAAATTAAGTGGTCGCTGCATACCTCCGAGCAATTACTAATAGAGGGAGCGTGAAAACGAGTTTGTAGGCGATTGTTGTGTTAGCAACATCTGTAGAGGAAGTGAGGAAGCGGGCACAAGGGGGAAGGTAAACATCCTTCTTGTTCAGTGGCGTATCATTTATCCATAAAAACACACATTGTCCAAACGTTTTAATTGTAAAAAAAAAACTAAAAAATTTGCTAATTTTACTATTTTTAAAATGAATACCGTCTTATATGTGTCTAATGCAGGAAAAGAAACAAAATCACTGTAAAGGTCTAATTTTTTCAATTGAAGAATAAAACCTTAAAATCAATTTTATTATTAATACAGGAGCGACTAGTTTCGGCCTTACAGGAACATCTTCAGGCCTGTAATACAATAATATTTAATTATTATAATAGGTTGGTCGCTTACGAATAACATTAAATAGTATAAACCACAAAAATGGATCCATATTGTAGCGTTACAGCATTTTAGAATTAAAGCTGTGAAAATAAAAGAGCAGTGCAAACGTAACTAAAAATAAGAAAACTGATTACGGAATCTACAAGAGAAGAGGTGAGAATGAGCAATTACGAATGCATTTAAATTGCTCGGGATAACAAATAAAGCTGATAATGTAGTGGTATAGTCCCCGTCAAAGAAGGTCTGGATATGTTAAAGAGAACGGCGTTTTCTCTGTAAATCTGGAGAATGTAAGGATGGAGGGAAGACGAATCTTGCTGGCTCAGGTGTAGATGGCTAGAAAAAGGAGCGTGTAGATGAAAGATCCAGTAAATATAATCACTTTCGTCTAATTTTTTATTCTCACTCACCGTTTCGGCTTTATCTTCGAAATTCATTTTTAAAAGGAAATAAAAGTAATCATTTATACAAGCATATAATAAAACAACATGAATTCATTATATTTAATAAGCTAATAAACGTTTGTTTCAATGAAAAAAACATATATGTGAGTATAAAAAATATATAAATTAATATCAAAATCAATTTGAAAATACAACAGATATAAAAATGAAATAAATTAGTACAAGTACAAATAGAAAGTTAATAACACCTTCTAAAAGTAATACATTTTAAGTAGATAAATGTTTAAAGAGTTTATTCCTGAACATAACTAATCTAACGTTTTTCCCCTTTTTAATATTATGAGGGTTTTTGTAGTTAAAATGAAAATTATAATTTATTTTGCTCCTAATAAAAATTTAAACATAGGTTATCAAAAAGTAAAATTCATAATAGAACTTCATAATCTTAAATCGTTATCAAAAATTATTAATGGTAAAACTTCAAACAATAGATTCTTAAACAAATTTCTAGTTTTTGTTTTGCAAAAGACTTTTTTGCCTTTTATTTTAGTAGTTTCGAGGAGAATTTTCCTGTGGAAACTAGTAGAACCATCAATTGGTTGGTAAAATTTTGATATTTTGAGTCTGGTAAGTCTTGTTAAACTTTCTTCTTAGGAAGCTATAACCTTATGGAGAATAAAAATTTTATGTTAGATCAAAAGCTCTTAATTGAGAATTATATTTGCAAAGGCCGTTTTAATAATATTTTCAAAAGTTCTTGGAATCGTTGTTAACAGAAACCTGCAAAAAAATATATAATTTTATTCCTAAAATATAAGATATCACACAATGCACATTCATATAATATCATTGTGCTAGAAAAATACTAGGTAGTTACTGAGACAATTTAAAAAAAGTATTTCAAAAAACTCAACTTTTAATGTCATCATTGTACTTAACTTTTTATTGCTAAATTATTAATAACGTCATTTTGTGTAGTTCGTTGTGATTTGTATAATATATATTATAAAAAACTATCATCAATGTTAATGTGCCAAGTTTTTTTAATAATTATGTCCTTGTTATAGTAAAAACACATTTAACCACATTTTTAAAGTTTTCTGGATTTCTGCTTTAAATTATCGTACAATTGAACTGACTAATTGTGAGTTTAAGTAAAGGTATATCTCTTTTTTGTTTTAACAGTATATTGTTCTGACTTTTTAGATAATCAGAGAAAACAGTAAGACATCTCTTAATATATCCTATTTCACTAAACGAAAAAAGTAATTTTAGGGTGTCCTAATAGGTTTTAACTTAAAAACTAAATAAAATGTATATTGCAACTGTGTTTAAACAAATGAATGTTTTTATACCTGACTATAGCACCAGACAAACATTTTTTTAGATCATAATGATCTGCATAACTCAAAATAGTCAAAATCCACATTATTTAAGTTGTTCTAGTATTGTTTTAGCATAACGATGTTAACTCCAATAATAAATATTCATATTTTTTTGGGACGTTTTTTAAGGAAATTAAAAAAAAAACATGAATAATGTGATATTCTTGTTTAGTTGTGTACTATATAATATAGTTCATTAGGTAGTGATTTAGAAGAAAATTATGTTCTATTTATAGAATAAAAAATCACTCATAATATCTAAATATTTATACCTATTTATATTTTGGACTATTTTATGTTTTTGGCTCTGAATAGTTTTCTTAAGAATTTTAAAACCTTCCTTAGCTCTTTTGGGATATTCCATGCATATCTTAGAAGTTCATTTTGTTTAAACCTAAAACAAATTAAGTACAAAAAATGAACATTTAAACAATACACAAAATTAATCTTTTAGATTAGTTAAAAAAAAGTGTCAATAAAAAAATGGCTATGCCTTGTTCCTTAAACATTCTTTTTGAAAGGAAATTAAGTTTCTCTACTTACTTGCTGTTTTAGTATTTTAGTAGCAGATGAATATAATGTAGAAGTAGTGACAGGATTGATTTTTATACTTCCTTCGTCCAAATTGCATTTTTCTTTAATATTTTCCTTCCCCGAGGTCTGTAATAAAAATGTTCATTAGCATAAAAAGTTATTCAGGTGGTCACTTGTTGAAATCCTATATTTTGGAACCATGTATTTCTTTTTCATATCAAGAAAAGGAAACCTAAAAAAAATAACAATAAACTTTACAAAGATGTGATATTAAAATAATAATAAGTAATTAACCTTTACTATAATCATTATGAGACGAATGAAGACGAACTTAGCTGGAGTTTACTTGCTCTTAATTTTAATAAGAAAATAAGAAAGTTTAATTGCAAATTAAAGGTGATTGCCTAATGCACCGCCTCTGATAATTAGGTTGTGTCTGTACTTACTTATGATATTATCTTGAAGAAGCATTTTCAACAGGCCTTTTACACATAAAGCATGTTTTCACCATATTATTAGAGATAATAAATCTTAAATATACATTTACAACCCTTACAACGTTATAAGTAATAATATTTTCCGTAAAATACAAATAAGAAATTGACATGTGTCAGAACTGGCGCTCACAGAACACTTCTGCCGCTGTCAAACTTGGCAACGCTGATTAAATAAGCCAATTACCGAAGAGGTATTTTCCCCCTCGGGGGGAGTAGATGTTGCTAACAAAATTTAGCGCGGGGAAGGGGGGAAGACTCCCTCTAGTAGTAATTGCTCGGAGCTGCATACGGCCGACTAGTGGTTCCGATGTCCAGTGACGTGCTGTCGTGAAAAGGTAGAAAGGAAATAAACTGCTACCCGTAAACATATTATCTAAGGGTCGATTCCTCCGTTGTGCTAAATGAAGGTTAAATTACTAAGCGAAGATTAAAACGACATTTTTACATTAAAAATGTAATTTTAATCTTATACATCCCTTTGCAATGTAAAATAAATCAAGCTTTATTCTTTATATATGCCATATGCCTCCGTCTGTGCTAACAAAACCTTTCCTGAGAATAACCCACATACTTTGATTACTTAACGATGCAAGAGAGACGTCCGATACGCCCAACATAGGCCGCGGCCATTTTGATGCAATTACTATTAGGTTAGGCAACACATTTTTCCGAAATGTTAAACTGGTAGCCTACATCTTGGTGTTTTGAGATATTAAGTAAAGGCAACAAATGTAGAAGAAACGTTTATTTATTTTAAATAATATACAAGAAATTTCTTTGAAATAAAGTTATAATTGCGAGTGCATCTTGAAATAGAGGTGAGTGGTTTTAAATTATTTCTAAAGCTGTGCACATGATTTTACCTTAATATTATGATATTTTTCGCCAGTCCCATGCCCATTAACATTTTATTTTTGTAATGTAATAAAAATCTTTGAGGTTAAACAAGCTAATATTATATTTTGCATTTTTTTAGCTGTAAATATGGTATGAAACTATAAAATAAAAACAAAGAAATGTGAGATTAAAGAAGTCTTGAATGAGTAAAACCAAATTTGGTAGATTTTCACAAAACTTTTATTATAAAAAATAAAAATTTAAAAACACTACACATGACATGTTTCGAAGTACAACTTCTTTTTCAAATGTGACTAATTTACAATTCGGTATCCAATATATATGCGAAGTAATTTAACAAAACAAAGTAATTAAGAAAACATCAATAACATAACAAAATAAACTGACTATTTAAAGTAAATAAGGGTACTTAAGTAATTATGATATCAATCAGATAACAATAAGATAGTAACATTACCGGGATTATCTCACAGAAAACTAGGAAAGAGATTTAATAAGGGTGAGTTATTAATATCTAATTGATCATTTAGTAGGTTATCTGAATTATTAAATCTATTTATTTCAAGTGTTTCTAAAAGGTTTAATTTAATGCCCTTATTTTCTATATGTAAAATTTCAAAGTGGTCTGTAAAAGAATGATTTTCAGCTAAAATATGATTTGAGTAAGTAGAATTATTTTTGTTTTTTGTATAGCTATTATAATGTTCGAAATAGCGCTTTTTGAAAGTACGCCCTGTTTGACCAATATACAATTTTGGACAACTACCACAATTTAATTTATATACCCCCGATTTATTATTAGGATTAATTTTACCCTTGTTTTTAATATACTTCCCAAGCGTATTATTGGTTTTAAAAGCTACGTTAATATTTTGGTTTTTTAAATATGATGATACCTTTTCACACTAGTGTTCCTATATATGTAAGACTCTTATATCTGCAATTTTGATCTTTAATTATAGGATAAACTTGTTGAATAGCATGTCTAAAAAGTTTTTTCTCTAAAATTTTGTCTACTAACTTTGAATTAAAATTATTGTTTACTGCGATTTGTTTAATGATATTTAATTCTTTTGTGAAGTTCTCTTTGGTAAGGGGGATATTAACTAATCTATGGATCATACTGTTGTATGCTGCCAGCTTTTGTTTGTATGGATGAGATGAACTATTATTTATTGTAATATCAGTATGTGGTGGCTTATGAAATATCCCAAAACTATGGCCTTTATTCATTTTAATAATATTATCATCCAAGCTTTAATGTATCAAATAAAACACCAAACATTTAATTTTTGCACTTTTCTTCATGATTTTCAAATTAATTAACAATGTGTGACCATTACCTACAGTACGCCACTGTTTCTGAAACATTTTCTCTCACGTCGTTTAATCTCGAAACACTATTTCGACAAGTAATGCAGGTCTATCTTAATACATGATCCAAGTTAGCATAAACGTCAAAAGTGTCATGATTATGGCAACCCTGCCGTTTTAAAAGTGACGTTCAATAATAAATAACCTTTCTATTTCTATTGTTCAATGTAACAGATTTTTATAATTTTTGAGCAAAAAGAAAGTAATTAATTCGTAGAGTAAGTGTAAAACTGGAATTTCATACCATGGCAACGACGTCTACTGCCGGAGCTGCCCTACCATCAGCCCCCATTAATGTTCAGGAATTTTCCATAAGAGTTCCCAAACATACGCAGAAAAAGTACCATGTAATGAGATTTAACGGCACTTTAGACGTGGATTTTGCGAAATGGACAAAAGTGAGTATGGAAAGAGAAAATAACATGAGAGAATTTAAAGGGGCAGACGAAGATATACCAAAATTTGGAGCTGGTTCAGAGTTCGGTCGAGAAGCCAAGGAAGAAGCCAGGCGCAAAAAATTGGGGATCATAGCGAGAAAATACAAAGCAGATGATCAACCGTGGATACTAAAATCATTTGGTAGCACAGTTAAGAAATTTAAAGGTATTCGAGAAGGTGGTGTATCTAATAATACAGCTTACTATGTGTTTACCCATGCAGAAGACGGTGCTATTGAAGCTTTTCCTCTACAAGAATGGTACAAATTTCAACCCATCCAAAGATACAAAGCTTTGTCAGCCGAAGAAGCAGAACTAGAGTTCAATAAGAGAGACAAACATTTAAATTACTTCTCTCTCATGTTAAGAAAACGTCTCAAAGGCGAGGATGATGTAGACTTAGATGAAGGTGAAGAAAAAGGAAAAAAATCAACATCAAAGAAAGATAAAGAACTAAAGATTTCCGAAATGGATGAATGGATGGAGACATCAGATGAAGATTCATCAGAAGCGGAAGAAAAAGAAGAGAAAGAGGAAGAAAAGAAGAAAAAAACAAAGAAAGTTGCTCCTAAAAAGAACAAAAAACGCGATACAGACGCCGAAGCTTTTGAAGACTCTGATGATGGAGATGGTGAAGGACGAGAACTCGATTACATCAGCGATAGCAGCGACAGTGAACCAGAAAACGTAAATCTCGATGGGGTATCTGAAGAAAAAGCACTCAGAAAACTTCTAAACTCCGATGAAGAAACTGATGATGATTCTGATAAATCAGACAAAGAACAAAGCAACGATGATGAAGAAAACGAGGCGGAAAAGAAGGAAGAAGCAGAGGAAAAGGAAAAAAAGAAGAAAAAGAAGAAGAACAAGAAAGATGTGAAAAAAGAAGTAAAAAAAGAAACTAAAGCTGAAGAAAATAAAGATTTCAGTTCAGACAGCAGCTCTGATGATGAATCAAAGAAGAAAACTGAAAAGAAAGTTAAAAAAGATGAAAAAGAAATCAGCAGTGGGAACAGCTCTCGATCCGCCACCCCTACAGACAACAAAAGGAAATTAATCAATGATGCATTGGCAGGACCAAGTCCTAAAAAAGTCAAAATGGACATGCCAAATTATATATCAGGTTCAAATGAATCTGGTATTACTGAAGATGCAGTCAGGAAGTATCTAATGAGAAAACCAATGACCACCACGGAATTATTGCAGAAGTTCAAATCAAAGAAAACTGGACTGTCTAGCGAACAACTCGTGAATATTATGACCCAGATTTTGAAAAAAATCAACCCCGTTAAACAAACGTTGAAAGGAAAGATGTATTTATCTATAAAATCATAGTTTATTGTTACAAAAATTGGAATGTAAAATAATACATGTGATTATATTTAATATAATGTATACTTTATATAATACTATTATTTAATTGACCTCTCCCTTAAGCACCCATCGTTTGAGTATAAAATGCAGAGAGCTCAAGAAAGTTTAAAAAAAAGTAGATATAGAATCTTAAACAACATCTCTCTCATGACTCAATTAATTTCTACAATTGGCTTAAAGTAATATTAATGACTTCAGTAGTCATTAATGTTACTAATCTATTTGACATAATTGGTCATTAAAAGTCATCAAGAAAGACCATTTTCATTAAATTTCTTGTTTTATTACATCACGTGGGAGATGGATATTGTTAAAGACTCCTATCATTATTAAAATAACTTAATAAAAAAGTGCCAGACTTAAAAACAAATCTAAATATCATTGTTATAATAAAAACCTTCACAGAATGTTTCATAAAAAAATATCGTCATTTTTTAATAGGGTAGGTTATAGATTCATTGAAAAAAGTACAGAGGTGCCAGAAATAACAAATTAGTGGATTTTTATGTCATTAGTGTATGGCTGCTTCATCTAGGAATAGGCACATAGCACTGTCGCCGAAAGGGTTGATATGCAAAAAAGTCCTTGGAATATGTGTAAAAAGTGATATAATTGCTCTTACACGTATTTTTTATTCAATAGTTCTACCCTATTCGCCATAAATTAGACTATTTTTGACATATTTTTCTGGAAAACCCCTTAGAAGCTGTCCAGGTTTCATTTTTATGCAAAACAACTTAATAATTTTAGGCGCCATTTTTAATCTCATATTCGAAATCGGTGACTTCAAAACCCCCATAGAAACCCTCTATGTTTATTTTTTATGCAAACCAAGCTATTTTTAATATTTTCTGGCGCCATATTGGATCCGGCATTTTGCATTTCTAATTTATGTCATATTCAAAATCAGCGACCTCAAAACCCCTTCAGGTTTTATTTTAATCTAAAACAGACAAACTTTAATATTTTGGAGCGCCATATTGGATCCGCCATGTTGTATTTCCAATTTTTAATGTCATACACAAAATTAGTAATATCAAAAACCTCTTAAAACTCCCCAGGTTTAATTTTTATGCAAAACAAGCATTTTTTAAAATTTTCTGACGCCATATTGCAATTCTTATTTATGTCATATTTAAAATCAGAGATCTTAAAAACCCTTTCAGGCCTCATTTTAATACAAAAAACAAGCAAACTTTAACATTTTAGAGCGCCATATTGGATCCGCCATGTTGTATTTCCAATTTTAATGTCATATTCAAATACAGTGTCCTCAAAAACCCCCTAGAAGCCTTCTAGGTTTAATTTATTAGCAAAACAAGCTATTTTTTAGGGCGCCATATTGAATCCGCTATTTTCTATTTGATATTTTTAATGTCATATTCAAATTCAGCGATCCCAAAAACCACTTCAGGTTTTATTTTAATGAAAATCAAACAAATTTTAATATTTTCGGAATCCATATTGGATCCACCATTTTGTATTTCCAATTTTTAATGTCATACACAAAATTAGTAACATCAAAATCCTCTTAAAATCGCCAGGTTTAATTTTTAAGCAAAACAAGCAATTTTTAATATTTTCTGACTCCATATTGAATCCGCCATTTTCTATTTGACATTTCTAATGTCATAATCAAAATCGGTGACCTCAGAAACCCCTTAGAAACCGAACAGGTTTAATTTTTATGTAAACAAGCTATTTTTAATATTTTGTGCGCCATATTGGATCCACCATTTTGTATTTCCAATTTTTAATGTCATACTCAAAATTAGTAACATCAAAAACCCCTTAGGCTTAATTTTTAAGCAAAACAAGCATTTTTTAATATTTTCAGGCACCATATTGAATCCGCCATTTTCTATTTGACATTTCTAATGTCATAATCAAAATCAGTGACCTCAAAAACCCCTTAGAAACCCGACAGGTTTAATTTTTATGTAAACAAGCTATTTTTAATATTTTGTGCGCCATATTGGATCCACAATTTTGTATTTCCAATTTTTAATGTCATACCCAAAATTAGTAACATTAAAAACCCCTTAGGCTTAATTTTTAAGCAAAACAAGCATTTTTTAATATTTTCTGGCACCATATTGAATCCGCAATTTTCTATTTGACATTTCTAATGTCATATTCAAAATCAGCAATACTCAAAATTTATTCATATTTCATTTTAATGCAAAACAAGCAAATTTTAATATTTTCTCCATATTGGATCCGCCATTTTGTATTTCCAATTTTAAATGTCATACTCAAAGTCAGTGATCTCAAACCCCCTTATAAATCCGCAGGTTTAATTTTTATGCAAAACACGCAATTTTTAATTTGTTTTTGTGCGCCATATTGGATCTGCCATTTTCTATTTGATATTTTTAATGTCATATTCAAAATCAGCGACACCAAACCCCCTTGAGATTTCATTTTAATGCAAAACAAGCAAATTTTAATATTTTCGAACGCCATATTGGATCCGCCATTTTGTATTTCTAATTTTTTAATATGCGGAACGTTCCGTATTGCATACAACTTCAAAATGTTCTACATTCAAAAAATTATCTCATATTTTGTAACGTTAAATCTGATTTACCTCTATCTACAAAATAAAGACTTAATAAAAAATGACGATAATTATAAATGAACATTCTGTATTTTAAAATTATTTTGGCCCAATGCCTTTAATCAAAGGCTGAACTCTCTAAAAGCAATCAAAATTAATACAATAAAAAATAAAGCGAACATATGAATACATTTTAACAACCAATAAAAATTTTTAAACACTAAAAATTCCACCCTAATCCCTGAATAAACGATCACCCCTTATGTTTGTATTTGTTTGACTTAATGACGTCACACTAATTCGTCGTATACTCTACTCACGAGTTGAAAGGCATCTTTGTAATTCCCCCACTTAAATTTCCCATTCCCATATTTTGATATATATTTTTTTAAATAAAATTTCTATGGGCAAAAACACAAAATATTGCATTTTTTGTTGGCACTGTACAAGAGACCTTTAATGTCCCCCAAAATTATAAAATTGGCAGAGTTAACAAACTTCCTTGAATTTTATTGGTTGTCGGTTTATTGAGGATTGCAGCTAAGACCCTGCATTGCCAGACAGTGTTTGTGGTAGACCCTGTAAGAGTGATAGAAAAAAATATAAAAAATCTATAAAACAGATACTCGAAAATATAGATACTTTTAAATATAAAGATATTTCCATATAAAGATATTTCTATCTAAAGATATTTTCATATAAAGATATTTCTATATAAAGATATTGCTATATAAAGATATTTCTATATAAAGATATTTTTAATATTTCTAAAGATAGTTCTAAAGATACTTCGAAAGATATTTCTAAAGATATTTCTAAAGATATTTCTAAAGATATTTCTAAAGATATTTCTAAAGATATTTCTAAAGATATTTCTAAAGATATTTCTAAAGATATTTCTAAAGATATTTCTAAAGATATTTCTAAAGATATTTCTAGATATTTTTAAAGATATTTCTAAATATATTTCCAAAGAAAGATTCATATTTCTAAAGATAAAGATATTATTATATAAAGAAATTTCTATGTAAAGATATTTCTATATAAAAAAATTCTATATAAAGATAAAGATATTTCTATATAAAGTTATTTTTAATATTTCTACTGGCAACGTTGAACCACACAACATAGTTGCCAACCTTTTTAGTGTTGATAACAAACCCTGTAATGTTGGCAACCTTGTTGACAAACCATGTTCGACGTTGCCATTATTTTAGCAATTTCTGGGAAAAGTATGAAATTTTGAGTGATTTGGTTCGACGAAGACTAATTATAACGAAAATATACGATATATTGCGACATTGCCATTTTCTAATGTCTAATTTTTTTCCCAGATCTGAAGAAAAATCAGCAAAGTGTTCTCAACAGCTCAATTGCTTAATTTAGCAATTGGTACACATTATTTTTATTCCATTTTTGTAGAATTTGAAAAAAAATTAATAATAGTACATTACTCAATGAGCAATAATGATATATTACTGCTTGAAGTTTTAAAGGGTTTTTAAATAAGATTTTTGTATTATTAGACGAAGTATAGAGAAAATAATAGAAAAAACAGATAAATAAGAATAATAGATAAGAAAAATGAATAACTAAAATAAATAAAAATTTATTCAATGTACTTGTATACAATAATTAGTTCAAAAACTAGATATCAGCTTTAAATAAATCAATATAGAAAAAAATGGGGAAAAATTCAAAAATTGCATCACACGATTTGTTTTCAGTTTCAAATTCGACAGGTTTTAGGCTTATACAACAATTCTACAACTCCAACTTGTCTTTCTTTAAATATTGTTCTAATAAATCTATTCAGCTGCCAAAAAAGGACAATAGCAGTCATCACTGCTCAATTCGGCCATTTGTCACAACTTATTTATCTCCGATAGGTAATGTTTCGAATTTATTAATGACTAATCAGTATTAGGTCTTAATAAAAGGTCTTGAATTTATCATATCTTTCTTGAGGAGCATCAACGTTATCTGCATAAAGTTCAGTTAAATCAACAACGTCGGGGAGAGCCTAAAAAACGTAAATCAGTTCTCTTTTTTATTTATTTATTTTTATTCGTTGACAAGAAACATTCAATTTTAGATTTTAAAATGACATCTTGCGAATTTCATCCCTAATTCAATATAAAAAATTTCTATATAAAGATATTTCATTAAAAATATATTTTTATATAAAGATATTTCTATATAAAGATATTTTTATATAAAGATATTTCTATATGTATAATGATATTTCTATATAAGGATATTTCTATATAAAGATATTTCATTACAAAGATATTTTTATACAAAGATATTTTTATATAAATATATTTCTGTATAAAGATATTTCTAAAAATAATTTGTAAAGATATTTGTAAATATATTTGTTAAGATGTTTGTGAAGATATTCGTAAAGATATTTGTAAAGATATTTGTGTAGATGTTTGTAAAGATATTTGTAAAGATATGCGTAAATATATTTGTATAGATGTTTGTAAAAATATTTGTAAAGATATACGTAAATATATTTGTAAAGATATTTGTAAAGATATTTGTGTAGATGTTTGTAAAGATATTTGTAAAGATATACGTAAATATATTTGTAGAAATATTTGTAAAGATATCTGTACATAAAGATATTCCTATATAAAGATATTTTTATATAAAGATATTTCTATATAAGGATATTTCTATATAAAGATATTTCATTACAAAGATATTTTTATATAAATATATTTCTGTATAAAGATATTTATAAAAATAATTTGTAAAGATATTTATAAATATATTTGTTAAGATGTTTGTGAAGATATTCGTAAAAATATTTGTAAAGATATTTGTAATGATATTTGTAAAGATATTTGTATAGATGTTTGTAAAGATATTTGTAAAGATATACGTAAATATATTTGTAAAGATATTTGTAAGATATTTGTAAGATATTTGTAAGATATTTGTAAGATATTTGTAAGATATTTGTAAGATATTTGTAAAAATATTTGTAAAAATATTTGTATAGATGTTTGTAAAGATATTCGTAAATATATTTGTAAAGATATTTGTAGAAATATTTGTAAAGATATCTATACATAAAGATATTTCTATAAAAAGATATTTCTATGTAAAGATATTTCTACATAAAGATATTTATATCTAACGATATTTATATATAAAAATATTTCTATACAAAGATATTTCTATATAAAAATATTTCTAATAAAGATATTTATGTATAAAGATATTTCTAAAAATAATTTGTAAAGATATTTGTAAAGATATTTGTAAAGATATTTGTAAAGATATTAGTAAAGATATTAGTAAAGATATTTGTAAAGATATTTGTAAAGATACTTGTAAAGATATTTGTAAAGATACTTGTAAAGATATTTGTAAAGATATTTGTAAAGATATTTGTAAAGATATTTGTAAAGATATTTGTAAAGATATTTGTAAAGATATTTGTAAAGATATTTGTAAAGATATTTGTAAAGATATTTGTAAAGATATTTGTAAAGATACTTGTAAAGATATTTGTAAAGATAGATATTTGTAAAGATATTACTAAACATATTTATATGCAGTCTTAGATGAAATTGTGTATTTTATCAAATGTTCTTGTCCTGGAATTATGAATAAAAAAATTGTTGTAGACAACATAAAATAGTTTCAAAAAAAAAACACATGAAAAGCGTTTTAGTGGTAGGGCCTTAAAATTATCCAAATTATGAGATATTGAGATTATTAATATTGAAAAAAAGAAAGTATAAAATGATAATTTGGTCAAAATAAATGGACATGTCTGATTTTGATGGATTTTTCTGGTGTAATTTGAAATAATATGATTTTTTAATAGAGTATAGTATTAAAAACAATACTCACACATATAGAAATGAATAAAGCTATCCAACTGCCAAGAGTTACACAATCAAGTGGAATTTTGTTAAAAATTAATTTTAAATCCTATTGAGCAGGAAAAAATAAATGCTGCAATGCAAGAGATACAATATATACTAAAATGCGATTCGGTATGTGGCGTACGTGATAATTCTCTCGTTTTACAAAAAATATATTTAGCTTGTACAATATATTGAATGCGTGGGTTTGATCAATGCAACTTGAATGAAGATAATTATTTAACGCCAACTTTGGCAAATTTATATCCTGGTCAAGCAAACCCACAAGTTCCAGCGAATGTGTAGATAAAGAGGCGAGTATTGACAGAATGGCCAGCACGATCACCTGATCTTACGTCATTAAACTTTTTCTAATGGAGATATATGAAAAATATGCTGTATAAAACGAAACCATGCGATTTAGATAATTTAAGAAGAATAACGTTTGTGATTAACGTAAGAAGACAATGTTATTAACATTTCTGTTATTTTTTTTTACATAATCAAGAACAAAACTTTATTATCTGTTAATTTTTGCTAAAAATTTGAAAACCACATCATTTTTGAATAGATAGAAATCTTTCAAATGAGGTATCACAACGCCTTTATTTCCTATTTCTAAATTTGAACTATATTAGTAATTATTTTTGTACTGTTTATTTTTGCAATAAATTTGAAAACTGCAGCATTCAGAATAGAGAATAAAGAGAGATACCTTTCAAATGAGGTATCACAAGCCCCTACTTACTATTTACAAATGTGAACTCTATTATTAATTATTTTTTTACAGTTAATTTTTGTAATAAATACGAGCATTTTTGAATAGAGAATGAGGATACCTTTCATATGAGGTATCACATGCCCCTACTTCCTATTTGGGAGTTGCAACTGTCACTCAAGAGGGGTGAAGGTCGAGGTGAAATTTTCACATTGACGTGTTTCGGGATTTTTTATAAATATGCGCAGAAATAATCGAGTTACTGAATTTATTCCATTTGACTGTTACCGTAAATCTTAAAAAATGTTTATGTCAAAATCAATGACGGAATGGTTTTGTTTTTGTTTGGCTCATCATTGCTCTGACGTCACAGTAATGGCGTAGTATTATGGGGTGAAATTCAGTTGAATAACGTTGCCAATCGCTGTCATAATCTCTAGAGCAAGCATCGATACTAATTTGGAAAACATTCATACCTATTGTTAAAGCTAGATAAAAGAAAGATACTTGTCATATGCCTATTTCATTATTCTCGTTTGTTTACAAAATTATTTACAAATATATTAAATTTAACTTAATTATATGTAATAATTTTCAATAAATTCCAAAATCTAGTGATGTTAGGTTGGAAGTGGCAACAGGGCTTACACCGGCATGAATATTTACGTTGTTTATTATAAGCGCACAGCGACTTACACATTTATTCATTGATAAAAATAAGTTGTATCTGCGTAAAATTCTTCTCTTTATACCCTCTCTTACTTCTTACCTTTCGTCGCCTCATCCCGTCCCTACAACTAGAGTGTTATGATTGTCGACTCCATCTTGACATCGTGAATATTATATTTTATTAATGACTGTCTATATCTCTGCCCTTACCCAACAGTGCTTTATATAGTAAAAATTTATAATTACCTTAAAATATTTGACAGTTTTTACTCTTAATTCTAAAGTAGCATCTTCATCGCATACTATGACAGTGTGAGGATGTTGCTGGAACGCAGATACAGTCCACATATGATTAATACCTTCTTCTACAGCTTTGTATAAAGCAAAAGCCTTTTCAGAGCCCGTCACCAGAATCATTACCTAAAATAGTTATTAATAGAAGAAAAAATGGATTTTTTTTTAATTTTTACCTCTTTAGAATCCATGACAGTACCTACACCGACGCTAAGCGCCTTTTTAGGTACCCGTTCAATGTCGTTATCGAAAAATCGTGCGTTAGCTCTGAGAGTGTCTTGCGCTAAAGTTTTGACTCTCGTGCGCGAGGCTAAAGACGAACCAGGTTCGTTGAAAGCTATATGCCCATCCGGTCCAATTCCTGCGATCACAAAAAAAACATGGCGTCAAATCATAATTTAATATTCTACGTAATAAAAATTCAAACCTCCTACAAACAGATCGACGCCGCCGAATTCGCTCATCTTTTGTTCGTACTTGTCGCATTCGGCTTGCAGATCTTGCGCGTTACCGTCGGGTATGAAGACGTTAGAGGGCAGTATATCTATTTTTCTAAAAAAGTTGTTCCACATGTAATAGTGGTAACTTTGGGGATGGTCCTTCGGGATGTCGACGTATTCGTCCATGTTGAACGTCTTGACGTATTTAAAACTGACTTTGCCATCGTTGTGAAACTCTATCAATTTTTTATACATTCCCAGTGGAGTACCGCCTGTTTAAAATGAATATTATAATTATAAACAATGATATTATTGTTTTTTTCATATCCATATTTTTTTTTTCATCTATGTATATATGTATAGTCTAGAGAAGAAAGGAGAGCGCCCTGTATACCGGGTGTCCATGCAAAAAGTTCGGATGGATGTAGTCACTCTTTTTGATAGTCCTCTAATGTATTTTAAAGGAATCCGTTTAAATAATGACAGAAGTAAGTTAGTAAATATGAAAATATTTTTAAAGGCCTCCAATATTTTAACAGATTATGGGGTCTATTCTATAAAAATTCCTTTATATTTAACGGCCTTTAAAAATATTGGCGGCCTTTAAAAGTATATTTGTATTCGTTAATTTACTTCTGTCATTATTTAAACAGATTTCTTTAAGATAGTCCTCTAATGTATTTTAAAGATCCGTTTCAATAATGACAGAAGTAAAGAAGAAAATATTTTTAAAGGCCGTTAAATATAAAGGAATTGTTACAGAATAGACCCCAAAGTAATTGTTACAGAATAGACCCCATTGAGTGGTTTTTAAAGGAAACCTTTTATACAACTGGCTTTGCTGTGTTAAATTTAATACACCTCACTAGAACAGGAACATTTCCTGATAGACTAAAAGCATGCAAAGATAGTTCCAGTCCAAAAAATTGCAAACAATACAAATGCATCAAACTTGCGATCTATAAACATACTTCCGACGATTGAAAAATTATTAGAAATCGTAGTTCGTGACCAAATATTAGAATACTTTAATAACAATGGTGTGTTTGTGGGAAATCAGTTAGGATTTAGGGAAGGCCATTCATGTGAAACGTCTTTACAGTTAAATATATCTATAGTCTATTTTTATGTATGAGAGAGTATTAAAATAATAAAGCGTTCGTAGTCCATAGGCGTACCACTTCTTTTAGTAGACAGTTAAAATATTTTTTGAAGTTATTCCTCGAGTATACATTTGTATTTTCACCTAATTAACCTCTGCTTATAACTTCTAAACACCTGAAGGTAAAAAAGTGCATTTTTTTCTAAAATGTTTTATTTTTCCACAAGGTATGTTAAGAACATTGTGTCAAACGGGTTATGTAGGTATAAGGGTTTAAATTTTGACTTTTAAACAACGTTACGTTCATAAATAATAATTTTAATATAAAAACTACTTCTTACCTACAAATCCAAATCAGAATCGAAATCAGAAGATGAACTGTCGCAACCAATATTTACAATGAGTGGCTCGATCATTTCATCAGTAATATTGTCCAACTTCCACATTTTCTCTTCTTCTTTAATCGTATGATTTACTGCCTTTTCCCAGTTTTCAGGCTTTACATTATTTACAGACTCCAAAAACAACTGTTTAACATCACTCATTTTAAAAGAATTATTTTTTCTTGAAACTTCTCCCTTTATCTGTGCCTATATCAGTTCAATCGGGTTTACTTCGCAATGATATGGTGGCGATCTAACCACCGTCATCCCACGATTTTTTGCAATTTCATCAATTTCATATTTTTTTAATTTCTCTTTATTAAGGGAACACAAATGATACAGTTCTTTTCTCACAGAACCGGGATGGAACTTAATATTCTTTGAATTTAACCAATTCTGTAAATCTTTTTTTAACCACTTGGTTGTGAGCATTTTTTCTATGTCTCGAGTGATAACTTGCATTATCCATTACTATTATACAATTCTGAGGAAGAAGATCTATAATTTGTTCGAACCACTCTTTAAAGACATCAGCATTCATGTCCTCATGGTAGTCACCGGTACTAGTAGATTCAAAAGTCAATAAACCACCTTTAACAAAACCGTTTGAACTACCGATGTGTACTATTATTAGTCTGCGCCCCTTTTCTGATGGTGGATTTAAACCAGTAGATAAAGTATTTAAAAAAGCCTGTCTTCGACTTGTAACAGTTTCATCTTGCCAAAATTTATTTGGTTTATGTCCCTCGTTAATCCATGTTTCATCTAAATAAAATATATTTCTTCTTTGGTTTCTCATTTCTTTTATAGGCCTTAGGTAATTTCTTCTCCATACTACACTATCGCTTCTTTCTATTAAAATAGACTTTCTGGAATGCTTTTTCCATAGAAAACCTATTTCTTTTAAAAGTTTCAATAGTGTGCTTCGACTCATTTCAGGGTAATCCTTATCATCTCGAACCGTGGCAAGAACTTTGTCTACTGTCGGAAATTCTTTTCTAAAGAAGAAGAACTTTCCTTAGAAGTCTTTCTTTCAAAAGATTTTCTAATTAAAATTTTGGATTTCCTGGAGCTTTACGTGCTGTTTGAAACTCGCCACATTTCTTTTCTTTAACAACTCGGTAAATTGTAGATTTCCCAACACCAAGCGTACTACTAACTAATTCCACTGTGTCATCAACACTTTTACATAAATGTTTGTCTGTAAATGATTTAAAACAATTAAATATTAATGTTTTTTCATTAACTGTTAAAGGACCGATTTTTTGTCGTTTACGCGGCCCTTCCAAATTTTCCATGATCACACTAGATCTCACACTGCACCTTGCAAGTTGCAACTAAACGACATTTAGTAAACTATCAAGAATACACAACTTGGACCTCCTTACTAAATGGAAAACCTATAATCGCATTTTCGGTGAAATTTGTTGGGAAGGTATTTATCTACTTATAATTCGATTACTGTAAGAAATTCTTGGAATTAAAATAAAACAAAATTGGCAAATAGGTACTTATTGAAAATAATCTTAAGATACGGCAATGTAATCTTTAATACACAGGGCTTTTGGCCTGTCCAAACCTTTTTATATTGTTCTGTACAGATTATGTTTATAAAGGACCAATAAAAGACCCAAAACTTGTAATAGCTCAGGTACATTTATTACAATTTTAGGAAATATTTAGATTATTCTGTAAAAATATTTAAAATGGCCGTACTAAGTTTTTCATTAGAAATGCTGTTTTATTACTCTCTCATACATAAAAATAGACTAAAATGGAAGCAAGTACTTGATGAAAATAAATATATAATAGCAGTTTTTCTAGATTTTAAACGAGCTTTTGAGACAATAGATCATAAAATTTTGATTAATAAATTGAAATATTATGGTTGTGCAGGACGAGTCCTGACCTGGTTTAAACAGTATATGACTAATAGATTACAATATGTAAAGCTAGGTAAATCACATCTGAAATGCTAAAAAATAACTTAGGAGTACCGCAAGGAAGTATATTAGGGCCGTTTCTATTTATCATATACCTATTTAAATGACAAAAATTTAAATTTAAATTTGAATTTCTTTTTATTTATTTTTCTTTACCATTTCTATTCTCTCCTTTTATTGCAACTAGCTAGGAGGTGAAACGATCAATGGATTACTTTTCAAGAGTGTTGCCCGCCGATATCCACAGTAATCAAAGGCCACTGCAAGAAAAGGTCCTTCAAAAATCATTCCACTCCCAATACCACGGCTAAACCAATTACCGTAAAAAAAAAATTAAAAATTGCAAAAAAAATGATTATATACCATCATACAATGAATAACACAAGATATCGCTGTAAAAAAAATGTTAACAAAGAAGAAATAAGAAAATATATACTTTCTATTAGATTAGTATTGTAATGTGAGCCATTTTATCATTCATAATACTCCAAGTCCCTCGCTGTCTTATTTGGCCTTTGAGACTCAACTTATCCTATTATCATACATAATTAAACCCCTTAAGACCAAACATATGTGACGTCTATGGCGGAGGTGCTTTCGATGACTATTCGAGAAAGAACGAGATAATGATTCTAGTGTATTGGTGGGAATATGTGAACTTTCTAGCAATTCGCCAATTTTTTAAATTCGTATATAAATATTGGTGGAGGACAATGCAGATTTAGTTATTATATGGACAGTGAAGATAAATAGCGACATTCGAAATATATATAAATTATAATAGTGTTATAAAATAAATAAGTGTTATAAGATAAAGGTAAGGTAGAGAATAGTAAATACTCAGATTACTAAGTATTCATGTGTAACAAAAAAAAGAGAAAAACAAACTGAAAATTTTAATACATAAAATAAAGGGACTTGAGACACATATTTGGTTATTTAGTGATGCTCCCAAAATAGGAAGGGGTTGATAAACTTACAAGCTAAGACTTAATACTAAAAATTTTTTTTAGAAAACAATTGAAGTTTTGACTGTTGCCCTTAAAGACTAAATATCTACAACTTATACTAGGAAGATTTGCTACTTTAGCTTTCAAGTGGTTGTTTAAAAATTTTTTTTTGCTTGAAATGAAAAAAATTGATTTTAAAATTAAATCTGTTCTCTTGTACCATTCAAATGTCACAATCAGGGAAAGATAAGATAACGGTAAATAAAGGTAAGTAAGGTAATGTAAGGTAAACTAGAAAGAATGATCATTGAACTATATTTGCATATATGATAACTAAGTAAAGGTGAACCATTTCAAATCAAAGGTAAATATATTGATATTCAAAAAACATAGTACATTATGTACTAAAGGTAAAAATAATATTATTAAACGATAAATAACACATTCACTTAACTAGTGAATAATGATATATAATAATATTATAGAAGATAAATTATGAAAATCAACATAAATAATGTACACACATTAGTGAGTACAGATAAGGTATACGAAACATCTTCCTAATGCTGTCACTTTTCTCAGTGTAAATCAGCAAAGGGACATACAAAGTAGAAAAGTTAGGTAAAAAAAAAATAGTAATGCAAGTTATCTGTTAACCTAAAGTTAACCCAATTATAAAATTTTGCAATACTCAACTAAATTATTTTCAATATAAAGTGAAAACAGAGGTATCAAATGATATTGCTAAAAGCATAAATTCTCAAATTATAATTGAAAAAGAATATAGATATACAAACTTTTACTACTTGTATTAAAATATAATTTAAAGTTGGTTCAGAATTAATTAGTTATACAATAGTGAGGTACTTTACCATATAAAGAAAAACACGAAATGCTAGATGTTTTTAATTGTGGAGCTGTTAATTTAAGACTTTATTGTACGTACCTATTAAGATTAGGTTTACAAACAATGCCGCGTCAAAGAGGAGGAGGATATACTTGTATTTATCGTGGATGTACCTCAAGAACAGGTGGCAAAGAAGGATTGTTCACTCTTGTGAAAGATCCAGTGAGGTAGGTATGAAACCTTAAGGGTGAAATAGGAAGTGACCTTGCCATAACATGGTAGTACAATGATTGTATGTATTTTTCAGACTTGAAATGTGGCTTAAGGCAGCAAATAGAGAGAACTTATTGGGAAAGGGTGTTGAACACTTAAGTAAAAATAACAAAATTTGTGAACTACACTTCCAGGATAAATTCGTTTATCAGTCAGGAACAAGAAAACGATTATTTGCAAATGTATTCCCATCAGTATTTCCCCATTCAGAACCTACGAAATGAGTCACAGTTTTGCAAGGTAAATAAATACAATTTATAGTTAAATGTTACAAAGTTTGCTAGTCGTCTTGTCATTTTTTTACATTACATTTAATAGTTTAAAGTAGTTTTAGTAGTTAGATTAGTAACAAATATAAATATTGTGACAATAAATGGGTATCTAAATGCATATCTAGTTGAAATTTAATAACATTCAATCTGCTGTACTAAAAAGTTGACTAGAATGACAGTTCAGTTTACCTCCTAGGCACAGAATAAATATATTCACATTTTATAAAATTATTTTAAATTTCATCTGGCTAAAAAGTGTGACTCAAACATTTAATTCTGACAAATGATGCATCTTCTTAACACCAGATTGTAAACTTATCAATTGCATAAATACACGTTTTATATTTTTCTTTTTATAAAATTTATTTATAAAATTCCTGAAAATACCCTTTAGCTAATGATTTTTTTAACAATTATCCCAATTGATTTATACTTATGGATCATAAAGACTAGTGAGATTTGTGGCACAATATTAATAGTTCATTATGAAGGGTAAAATAAACTATTGTTTAAAACTTTATAATTTTTATTTTTGAAACCTCTGTCGAAAGTGCTACAAATCAAAAAATAATTTACTTGAATCGAGAATAGTTTCAAATGCATTCATGCAAATTTTCATAAAATATGACACATAATTATGTAAAAGAGAAATGTAGTTTTCGCAGTGTAGGTTCAGTGAATAGCTACGTTCGCGTGTACTGTGAATAATTACGTTTTCTCAGAGTATCTCTGTGGTGGAACCAATGAACTGGAGTGGGGTAGAATGCTTGTCAATAGGCTTGAGATGCGACCAATGAACTCCAGTTCCAGTTCATTGGATGCGACTCTATGGGCGAAGACAGGTTATTTTTCATCTCACTCGGGAGTATTTATAACAACCATTTTCTATTTCACTTTGTTATTGTCTGATCCACCAGCTTGTGGATTGAACAATAACAATGTGAAACAGAAAATGGTTATTATAAATACTCCCGAGTGAGATGAGAAATAAAAATGGCTGCGCCCATAGAGTCGCATCTTGTTCTATTGATACAATATGCCCATTGGCTTTCTACACCACTCCAGTTCATTGGGTGGAACTCAAAGTCAAATTATAGGTCTGTTCTGGTTTTGAGAAATAACAATCCACAACTGTCGGGCTCATGCGCAGTAGATAAAAAGTGTTCTGGTTTTTCTGGGACTACTTCGGATCTCTCAGTCCAGTGTTCTGGTTTCGTATCCGAAATAATCCGTGATTGTTGTAAACAGTCAAAAAGTGTTCATGCTTGGGAGTGTGGATCGACTCGGACTGTTTTGACCGCGCATGCGTTTTTGAAGTGTTATGAATATTGTATTGGCTTTTTAGACCATACGAAACGTATACAATCCCAAATTGTTTATTTATATGTGGACGAATGTCTCTTGTTCTTGTTTTATTTGTAAATTAAAGCAATTTTAGAATTATTAATTTTTTAATATTCTGTTTTTATTTATTCCATTGAAATGTGATGATAATGATAAACATATACATGCAAATATTATTTGAAGCTGAGCTTTCAAAAGGAACTTCATTATTATAATAAACAATAAACAAAACACCTTTATGACGTGTTCTGGTTTTCCAAGAATTTCAAACAGTCGGGGATTTTTTGCCTTTACGCATACGGTCCGGCGCAGTTTCAAAACAGTTTTCATTTTGAGAACCAGAACAAACCTATTTCTATTCCTTCAACTTCAAAGTTCTGACCATTACTTTCTTTTCTGTATTGTTCTTTCTTCTGTGGCAAAGTTCACCAGAGTAAGTGTTCTGTGAAGTTCACATCGGTTAAAATCACGCCCCCCTGCAGATTGTCTCATGCTCCAAATTTTCGAGATTCCAACTTAAATTTTACCATAAATAAAAGCCATCCACTTTTCGCGCGGACACCCGCTATATTGTACATTACCAAAAGGTATAAATGTTACTCTTAAAAAGGGTCGTTTAAAAAAAAAAATAAAAATAAATTCCACTCACCTGTAGGCAATCCAAGAACAAAATGTTTATCTGGACCCGGTTTAAAATCATTTATCTTTTTCGTTATATATTTAGCAGCCCATTCACTTACATCGTTATAATCTTCTTTAATTACTAACCTCATTTTTTATTTTTTTCTTTTCAACTAAATATTTCAACAAACTAGGTAGGTATTTCTTTTCGATAAATCTCACCTATAGGTATTATGAATTCGGTTTTGTTGTATTGTATCTAGGTACTTATTGCTTAGATAATCGATCGTGACACAAAACTGATAACGTTAGAGTTTAATTGATTGTACAGATTAGTTTATAATAAAAATAAACGCTCATTAAAACCTATCGAGTTCATTTAAAATTATTATTCAGTTCTGGTTTTTGTTTGTTGACAACTGGCCCGACTTGTCAAGTCAGGATAACAGTTCCTTAACCTCATTTTTTTTATTTTTAAATTCGCCAATGTTGCCAAAATGCATAGGTATTTATTTATTTTGTTTGGACCAGGGCTGGTATATCTAAGGGGGTCGCGACATAGACCCAGTAAATGGACGAGGGGGTGACTGAGGCTAGGGGGGAAATAGTAGTCAGCTTAAGTTGGCAACACTTTTCTGACGTTCGTTTGAACGAGCATCGTGCATAATAATGTCAATATGGTACAAGTGGAATGAACCACTGTTTTCCTCGTAGTCCAATGTCGAATTAAAACATTTATATATATATATTTATATACCAAATTATGCAATTTGTTTCCACTTTATTTTAATGTTACATGAATAGGTACATGCGTTTGTGCTGTGGTGAATAAGTGTTCATGTGAAAATTATCTCTTAAACTACATTGTGATTGCACTCATCTCAAAACTGAATGTGTTAACTATACTCTTTGACTTAATGCTGTAAATCCAGGATTTAAATCTTTCATAGTGTTGCTTGGGATAAATTGTAAAAAAGGTGTTGGACAAAACGTTTACAACCTAAAATTGCATGAAAAACATGATAGAAGAAGGAATTTTACCTTTATGACATTCTCTTTCAACATTTTTAAGTGACTGTGGTTAGGTGAATGGACTGTTACCACAGTCAAAAGATTTAAAGTAAAAAAAAAGTGACCAAGTTCTAATAAGAATACATAAGTTGAATATGAAAATGCAATTACTTGATTTAAATGTGATTTAATTAAGAGTTAAATAGAGGTTTCATATAAACAAAGTGCTGTAAAATGTTAATAAATGCAAAACCATTATTAAAGAGAAATTAGTTATCATCAATAAGATATTTTGTAGTAGCTGGTCTCTATAAATAATAAACTTGAAAGACTGAATTAGTAGTCACTTTTACACTAGAAGTAAAAACAAAAAAAATTGTGTGGTTGAGACTAATTTATATATTTAATAAAAACATATTTAACATAAAAGCAGGTGTTATTTGAAATGTTTTATTTTAGTTTAATAATCTTTATAAATTGTGGGTACATTTGATCAGAATCTTGCAAATACTATAAAATGCATATGCTTCTATATGGTTAGTATTGGAGTAGAAGCACAAAAGTTTTGAATAAAAATATAGATACTGGAATATTTTGCTTGATTACTAAACTTTGGATGTTTTTGTTGTAGTATGCTGTTAATACTATTGTCCTGAAATATTAAAAAAGCTAGACAAAGGTTTATCCAACTCTTTTGTCAGCTTTGTTAATCTATGCTACTGTTATTCTGCATGCAGACATTTTTTACTGGAGATTTTCTCTAAGAACTGTATTCAGTTTCAAATTTCGGCCAGTTTTAGGAAAGTACCTCTGTTGTAAAGGTATTTCAAATCCATCCTTTGTAAGATGTAGACAACAAATACATGCTAAAATGTATAGAAAACAAATCGCAAGATATTACACAAAATTATTTAAATTAACTAAAAACATACAAATGAAGTGAATAATACGTACCAACAATTTAAAAAGACCTAAAATAAATAGACATAAGGGACTGGAGCTCTAAAAAAAGGGAGCAATAATTTGTTATGCATCATCTATAAGAAAATTGTCTTCATCTCTTCAATTACCTTTTAAAATAAACAAAACTAAAACAGCACAAAATTGAAAGTGATCTACTTTTCCCGACGTATTTTATGTACATCTGAGATTAATAATTTATTAAATTGAAATATTTTATCCTAAAAAAATATGGGCATTTTATAAAGGAAATGTCATTTAAAAAATGACATTGATTTTTTTTCTTATATTGGTAAACCTGGCGACTACAAGTTGCCAACGTTGCCAGATCAATGGCGACTACTATGTGACTACTATTTCGAAAAAAATGGCGTCCAAAATGGACTCCTATGTCGCGACCCCCTTAGATATACCAGCCCTGGTTTGGACGTTTTTTTTAAATGGTATGCCAGTGTCGCATCATTTTTACGGGGTTTGAAATGAATATAAGTAATAAATACAAACATTTAAAAAACATTCTTTAAGTTTGGCGCAACAGTTTTTTTATTGTTTAATTTTTAATCTAGTCTTATTTTTAGAAATTTTCAGTGACATTATGCTCTCTTTTAATTCTGAATCTGTTGCTCATTTCCCATTTTTTAAATTGTAAATACTAGGTACTTTCAGATATTTTTGGAACTTCAAGTTCTTTTTTGATTGCTTTTTATCAATAACCCAACTCACATTCAAAATAATTTACTGATGCATTTAAAATCAGAACTTTTGAATCATCAGAAGACCTTTTCGCGATAAATATTACGTAACTGTAAACACAGACCTTTCTGATGAAAACTTGAAAAATAATAATGACATACGCTGACAAATTATATACAGGATGTTCCAAATTGTTATTATTTGCAGACGGTATTCCAAAAACTAGAGGATATGAAAAAAAATGTTATAAGATGTCCTGACTTTTTTTTGGTTAAGTATAACGATTCCCAATCAAATCTTCAATATCTTCATTTACGAGTTTCAAGGCCATTATATTAATTATTAGGCATTCCAACAGCTATATCAAGCTAGCGGGCACTCTGTAGCGGCACCATTCAAGATCTGGCGGGTTTTTTGTAGCTTTTTTGTTACACTATTTGTAAATTTGTAGCTTAGCCCAGGTCCGAAAAAACAGCGGATCCGCTAGCTTGAATTTCCATAAATTCCATAGTAGCGGCACAGATTCAGACCCTGCTGGTTTTTCGTAACTTTTTTGTTACGCTAGTCTCTCTTTTGTAGCTTGTACTGAACCTGAGAAAAGCGCGGATCCGCTAGCTTAGCGGATATTTGTAGCGGCACCAGCCCGGACCCGGCTCATTTTTTGTAACTTTTTTGTTACGCCTGCGTCGATTTCGTTGCGAGGCCTGAACGTGAGTAATAATCGTTTCTCCATGAGCGTGAGTGAAAGTGCGTTAATTTAAAATCAAGTTTCGGCCTCTACAAGTAATATGTGCAACTCGATAGTGTGACTATCTGTTGCTAGATGGCACCAGTATTGCATTTCACGAATTATGGCCATCTTCCATCCAATATATTTTTGAGAAATTTAGATATAATCTCAAAATCGGACATTTGTTTTTAAATGTTTTTTAGTGTTGTTTATGTATTTATACTTTTGTTGAATTAAGAATATTCTTACATCTTTTTTGAATGATTTCCTTAAACTGCTCAAAGCTGGTGGTTTGCGAATGGCCATATTGCCTGGCAAATATTTATTAATTGAATCGGTTTAGCAAAAATGTGTTTTAAAACCAATTTTCAGCCTTAAGATATTTAAAAAATAATAATTGCTTACATTTTTACTTCAAGGCATAAGCTTATGTTTATTTTAAAAAATATGAATGATCGATCTATGTAACTATCTATTTCATTGACCTTGTCAAATCACCAGGCCTACAGGGTTGCCATAATTTTGCCATATCATAAACTGTCAAAACCCACTGATTACGTGTGTCTTTTTATCCAACTGTTGCAGCAACGTTGGCATCGGTGCGGTATGTCAACTGTTATTTATTTCAACGGTCAACCAAAAATGTATCGAATCCAATTAGGCATTCCAAACTGAATGGCTACCAGTGGGTTCTGACGGGTTATGATATGGCAAAATTATGGCAAACCTGTAGGCCTGGTGATTTGACAAGGTCAATGAAATAGATAGTTACATAGATTGATCATCCATATTTTTCAAAATAAACATAAGCTTATGCCTTGAAGTAAAAATGTAGGCAATTATTTTTTTTTAAATATCCAAAGGCTAAAAATTGGTTTTATAACACATTTTTGCTAAACCGATTCAAATTAATAAATATTTGCCAGGCAATATGGCCGCTCGTAAACGACCAGCTTTGAGCAATCTATATAACTATATATGTATCATTGGCCCTGTTAATGACAACATGACAACAGGGTTGCCATATCTTAACTGTCATTACCCACTGGTAGCCATTTGGACAGGTCGTTGGAATGCCGGCCGCATCTGTGAAACAACGGTTGCAACAAACCGGTGGAAAAAAAGACACACGTGTAGCCATTTAGTTTGGAATGCCTAATAGGAGCTTTTGATACTATTATATAGAAGATTTCAGGAGCGTACAATTTTTTTTAAATGGTCTCACTATGGATATATAACATAAACTTTACAAGGTTCTATTATTAAGAAAAATATTAAAAAAACTTTATAGAAACTTTTGATAGATATATTATAGAAGATTTCAGGAGCGTACAAAACATTTTTTTAGATGGCCTCACTAAGGAAATATAATATATACTTTTTTTAATACGACACCCTGTAGATTTTGTTTTGAAACTGTCGAAAATAATGTTCTATAACTTCTTTATTAAGCAATACATTAAAAAACTTTATGGGAGCTTTTTATAGATATATTATAGAAAAGTTCAGGAGCGTACAATTTTTTTTTAAATGGTGACTAAGGATATATAATATAAACTTTATAAGGTTCTATAACTTCTTTATTAAGAAATATAATATTAAAACACTTAATAGGTACTTTTGATAGATATATTACACAAGAGTCCAGAAGCGTACAAAACATTTTTTTAGAGGGTCCCATTAAAGAAATATAATACACCCTGTGTATTTTGTTTTGAAAACTGTCGAAAACTAAAATAAGGTTCTATAACTTGTTTATTAAGAAATATATTAATTATAGGAGCTTTTGATAGATATATTATAGAAGAGTTCAGGAGCGTACATTTTTTTTTTCAAATGGCGTAACTAAAGGATATATAATTTAAACTTTATAAGGTTCTATAACTTCTTTATTAAGAAAAATATTAAAAAACTTTATAAAAACTTTTTATAGATGTAATATAGAAGAGTTCAGGAGCGTACACAATTTTTTTTTGTGATGGTTTCACTAAAGAAATATAATATAAACTGGTTTTTTAATAGAACACCCTGTAATTTTGATTCTTTTCGTTTTCATTTTTAATTTTCTTTTGGCAGAAATTTTCGTAGCCATGTTACATGTAAAAATTCTGTATCTGCGACCTTCGAGCGCGAAAATACACTGAACGGCAGGGACGGATCACTTTATAAATAGTTTAGGAGGGTACACATTTTTTTATAGAAGAAATATAAACGATTTATATATAAACTTTATTTTTTTACAATATTCATTAACAATATCGAGAGAATCGAAAAAACATTCATAATATTGTAGTTAATACAATTTTTGCAACGTTAAACATATAAATAACATCTTTTTAAATATTTTATAAAGAAATTGATAGCGAATTTTTGCAAATCTATATATAAATAAAATGATTTAAATATAACAAAATTTCAGCTGCGTTCTGCGTTGGTTAACAATTATGAGCCTGATGTAAAGTTTGACAGAGTTTAGATCATGAGTAATTTGAAGTTCATGTCATTCAGACAGCTCTGTCAAAGTTCAGAACATTTATGTATTTTCAATTATCACAAGAGAAATTTAAGTCAAAAAAGATGTTTTAAATACTAATAAAAGAAAAAACGATTTTTTATATAAATTAACTTTAAATTAGGCGGAAAATAAATTCGGCCGAATTTTTTTCGGCGCCTAAAATCACCAAAGAATCGACCGTAATCGGCCGAATATCAATTATTATATAGGAACTTTTTTTATATTTTGACGCTAGTAATCCGCCTCTAAATATTTTAGATGGAAAATAAATTCGGCCGAATTTTGTTTTGCGCTTAAACCTTCAAAAGAACATCTAGGGGAACTTTTTTAAATTGTGACGCTAATAAACCGATCCTAAATGTTCGTAAGCGGAAAATATATTCGGCCGAATTTTGTTCTGCATTTAAGCCTTCCAAAGAATCGGCCATAAATGACGCTGGTAATTTGAACCTAAATGTTCTTAGGCGGAAAATAAATTCGGCCGAATTTTGTTTTGCGCTTTAACTTTCCAAAGAATCATCGACCGTAAACGGCCGAATATAAATTATTATATAGTAACTTTTTTTATATTTTGACGCTAGTAATCCGCCTCTAAATATTTTAGATGGAAAATAAATTCGGCTGAATTTTGTTTTGCGCTTAAACCTTCAAAAGAACATCTAGGGGAACTTTTTTAAATTGTGACGCTAGTAAACCGATCCTAAATGTTCGTAAGCGGAAAATATATTCGGCCGAATTTTGTTCTGCATTTAAGCCTTCCAAAGAATCGGCCATAAATGACGCTGGTAATTTGAACCTAAATGTTCTTAGGCGGAAAATAAATTCGGCCGAATTTTGTTTTGCGCTTTAACTTTCCAAAGAATCATCGACCGTAAACGGCCGAATATAAATTATTATAAAGAAACTTTTTTTTGTATTATGACGCTAGTTCTTAAGCGGAAAAAAAATTCGGCCGAATTTTATTCTGCCATTAAACCTCAAAAAAATCGGCTGTAAAAGGCCGAATATAAATTATTACCACTTACAATGTTACAATTGGCGTGTATCTCCAATCGCCTTCAGGTTCTTTTTATAATACTCACCATCTGACCAACAGAGAATAAATAAATAAATAAATAATCTCAAATATATCGCATTCACATATAAAAATAAATTTTTACTAAAACCATTTGAACAAGTTTTGCAAAAATCGCTATTTAATTACCAATTTAGAAACTATAATAATCAACAATAATCATAAAAAAAGATTACCCAGGTAAACAATGAACAAAATAATTAACATACAGGGTGGACCACTTTTGAATTGAATTGTATTGGTTTCGCGAGTGTAAAATTCGGCCGAATATGAATTCGGCGTAAAATTGATTCGGCTCAAAATAGAAACGACGAAGAACAAATTAGGTTAAAATATTTGACTGAAAATACATTCGGCCGAAAGTAAATTTGACCTAAAATACATTCGGCCGAAAGTAAATTTCATCAAAAATAAATCAGGTTAAAAATAGATTTGGCAAATATAAATCCGGCCGAAAGAGAATTCGGCGAAAAATAAATATGGGCGAAAATAAAATTGTCCAAAAATAATTTTGACAATAAAATATGTAAGCCTATCAATTTGAGAGGATGCACAATGAACCTAGTGGGGCCTAAAAGTGGAAAACAACGAAAAATTAATAAAGCAAAAAATAAATCTAAAATACATTCGGCCGAAAATAAATTTCTGCCATAAATGAATTCTGCCAAAAATAAATTAGACACAAAATAAATTACCTAAAATACATTCGGCCGAAATTAAATTGGGCAATAAATAAGTTTGGCGAAAAATAAATTTGACCTAAAATACACTCGGCCGAAAGTAAATCTAGCTGAAAATAAATTTGGTCAAAAATAAAGTTAGTTAAAATTAACTTTGGACTAAATTAATTCGGCCAAAAATGTATACGGCTGAAAATCAATTAGGCAGAAAAAAAATTACTAAAAATAAATTTAGGGCAAAATAAATTTGACTAAAAATGAATTAGGTTCAAAATATAAACGGCAGAATATTAGGCCGAAAATATATTTGGTAAAAACTAAATTTTTCGCCGAATAAAAATTCGGCGGAAAAATTATTCGTCCTACAATATACACGGCGGTAAAAAAATTGACCTAAATATATTCGGCCGAAAGTAAATACAAGGGGGAAAATAAATTTTGCCTAAAATTCAGCCGAAAGTAAATCTGGCTAAAAATGAATTACGTCAAAAACAATTTCGATCGAAAAGAATTAGGAGAAAAATTGATTCGGCTTAAAATATACACGAAGAAAAGTAAATTTGACCTAAAATGCATTCGGCCGAAAGTAAATCCGGCTAAAAATTAATTGAGCTAAAAATAAATTACGTCAAAATCAATCCGACCGAAAATACGTTCGGCCGAAAGTAAATTTGGCTGAAAATAAATTTCACTAAAAATAAATTTAATTCAAAATTAAGTTAACCAAAGATAAATAGTCAAAAATGAATTCGGCCCAAAATATACACGGCCGAAAAATAATTGAGCAGAAAATAAATTTGACCTAAAATACATTCGGTAGAAATTAACCTGGCCGAAAGTAAACTATGCCAAAAATAAATACGGTCGAACAAGAATTCGGCGGAAAGTTGCTTCGTCCTAAAATATACATAGCGGTAAAAAATTGACCTAAATTATATTCGGCCGAAAGTAAATCTGACTGAAAATAAATTTTAGTAAAAATAAATTTAGTTCAAAATTAATTTAACCAAATATAAATATAGTCAAAAATAAATTCGGCCCAAAATATACACGGCCGAAAATAATTAAGCAGAAAATAAATTTGACCTAAAATATATTAGGCAAAAATTAACCTGGCCGAAAGTAAACTATACCAAAATTAAATTCGGCCGAACTAGAATTCAGCGGAAAGTCGCTTCGTCTTAAAATATACACGGCACTAAAATTTACTTAAATACATTTGGCCGAAAGTAAATTTGGCTGAAAATAGAATTCGATGAAAAGTTGATTCGTCCTACAATAAACACGGCGAAAATTAAATTGACCTAAAATACATTCGACCGAAAGTTAATTTGGCTGAAAACACAATTGGCCAAAAACAAATTCGGCCGATTTTAATTAGGCCTTAAACGTCCCTAAAAATCGGCCCTAATGACTGCAACCTTACGACATATCAATACGTTTCAATTTAAAAGTGGCAACCCTGTATATATCCAATTAAAAAAAAACATTACGAGTGCTAGCTGCATCCCAAATCATCATTTTCTTTCTTAACAACCACATCGTCCGATTCACTCACATCACTGCTACGTAAATTATATTTACACTCGACCGGTTTCAATTTCAACGTGTCCATAAGCGTGTCGTGCTTCACGTCCCCACCGTCCACGGGCTCCTTTTTACATTCGACTTCGTTTGGTTCCGTTTTTACACTAACCGATTCGTTACTGGTATTCGGCGATTTCGTTCGGTTATTTTTCGGCGGCGAAGCGGCAACGTTGTTCGGCGTTTTGACGTCAGTTTCCTCGATCGATATCGTTTCGCGTTTCATTTTCTCCCTGGCTTTGCGCATGTTCGGCGGCATATCGTTGAGGCGTTTGAATTCGGGGAAGTCCTCTGGATGACGTTCGCGGATGTGCTTGTAGAGGGCCTTGTTGAGCGCGAATTTTCGGTCGCAGAAGGAACACTTGAAAGGTTTGTCGCCTGTGTGGACGCGCATGTGCTCTTTGGCGGTCGTACTAAACATAAGAAAGTAAAAAAAAAAACGATTTACATTTTACATATTTATTTTCATAAGTCATCTAAATAACTCAGGAACAATCTATTTTTCCAATAAAACATTTATTTATCCATTTAGAAGAAAATTGGGATTAAAAAAAACCATTATTTGTGAATATTCCCGCCCAAAAGTACATAGAACTACACATTGCAACAAAATAAAATAAATTCGGCCGAAAGTAAATCTGATAAAAATTAAATTCGGCCACTCCACAAACAAAGCTGAAAATTGATTCATCACAAAATATATAAGGCCGAAAATAAAATTGACCTACAATTCATTCGGCCGAAAGTAAATCCAACTGAAAATAAATTCGGCTAAAAATAAATTAGGCCAAAAAACTAATTTAACCGTAAATAAATTAGACAGAAAATCGATTCGGCTCAAAATATACCAAGTGAAAATAATTTTGACCTAAAATGCATTCGGGCGAAAGTAAATATGGTCAAAAATAAATTCGGCCGCGCCAACAAAGCTGAAACTTGATTCAGCCCAAAATATAAAAGGATGAAAATAAATTTGACCTTAAATTCATTCGGCCGAAAGTAAATCTGACCAAAAATAAATTCGGCAGTGCCAAAAATAAAGCTAAAAATTGAGTCGGCCTAAAATATACAAGGCTGAAAATAAGTTTGACCTAAAATAATTCGGCTGAAAGTAAATCCGGTTGAAAATAAATCCAGCAAAAATTTTACTAATAATAAATTGTCAAAAACAAATCCGACCGAAAATTGATTCGGCTCAAAATATAACTTTAGAAAATAAATCTGACCTAGAATACATTCAGCCGAAAAAAAATTAATTTGGCTAAACATAAATAAAAAAATACGACCGAAATTAAAAAAAATACGACCGAAATTAAAATAAGCTAAATATTGATTCAGCTCAAAATATAGAAGATGGAAAATAAATTTCACCAAAAATGCATTCGGCCGAAAGTAAATCTGACCAAAAATAAATTCGGCCGCGCCAAAAACAAAGCTGAAAATTGATTTGACCCAAAATATACAAGGCTGAAAATAAATTTAACCTAAAGTACATTCGGCCGAAAGTAAATCCAGGCGAAAGTAAATTCAGCTGAAAATAAATTCGGCTACAAATAAATTACATCAAAAAAATCTGACCGAAATTGATTTAGACGAAAAAATTAATTTGACACAAAATATACAAGACGGAAATTTAATTTAACCTAAAATGATTTCGGCCGAAGGTAAATCTGTTCAAAAATAAATTCGGCTGCGCCATAAACAAAGTTGAAAATTAATTCGACCCTACATATACAAGGCGGAAAATAAATTTGACCTAAAATATATTCGGCCGAAAGTAAATCCGGCTAAAAATGAATTTGGCCAAAAATAAATTGAGTCAAAACCAATCCAACCAAAAATGAATTAGGCGAAAAACTGATTCAGCTCAAAATATACATAACGGAAAATAAAGTTGATCTAAAATTAATTCGGCCGAAAGTAAATATAAAGCTGAAAATTGATTATTCCCAAAATATATAAGTCGAAAATAAATTTAACCTAAAATACATTAAGCCGAAAGTAAATCCAGCTAAAAATAAATTAGGTCAAAAACTAATTTAACCGAAATTAAATTAGATGGAAAATTGATTCGGCTTAAAATATACACGACTTAACATAAATTTGACTTAAAATGCATTCGGGAGAAAGTAAATATGGTCAAAAATAATTTCGGCCACGCCAAAAAACAAATAACATTGATTTGGCTCAAAATATACAATAAATTTTACCTTAAATGAATTCGGCGAAAGTTAATCTGACCAAAAATAAATTCGGCCGCGTCAAAAATAGTTTAAAATTGATTCGTCCCAAAATATATAAGGCGGAAAATAAATCTGACCTAAAATACATTTGGCCGAAAGTAAATGCAGCTGAAAATAAATTCGGCTAAAGATAAATTACTTAAAAAAATCAACCGAAATTGAATTACGCTGAAAATTGAATCGGCTCAAAATATACAGGACGGAAAATAAATTTTACATAAAATGCATTCGGTCGAAAGTAAATTCTGCTAAAAATAAATTAAAAACCAATCCGACCGAAAATGAATTGAGCAAAAAAATGATTTGGCTCAAAATATACAGGACGGAAAATAAATTTGACCTAAAATGAATTCGGCCGAAAGTAAATCAGATAAAAATCAATTCGGCCGCGCCAAAAACAAAGCTGAAAATTGATTCGGCCCAAAATATACAAGGCGGAAAACGTATTCGGCCGATAGTAAATCTGATCAAAAATAAATTCGGCCGGACCAAAAACAAAGCTGAAAATTGATTCGGCCCAAAATATACAAGGCTAAGAATAAATTTGACCTAAAATACATTCAGCCGAAAATAAATCTGATAAAAAAATTAATTCGGTCACGCCAAAAACAGTTGAAAATTCATTCGGCCCAAAATAAACATGGTGGAAAATGCATTCGGACAAAAGTAAATCTGATCAAAAAAAATTCGGCCCCACCAAAATAAAGCTGAAAATTGATTCGTCTCAAAATATATAAGGCGGAAAATAAATATGACCTAAAATACAATTGGCCGAAAGTAAATCCAGCTAAAACTAAATTACTTAAAAAAATCCGACTGAAATTGAATTAGGCTTAAAATCGATTCGGCTCAAAATCCAGGACGTAAAATTAATCTGACCTAAAATGCATTCGGCCGAAGGTAAATTTGATCAAAAATAAATTCGGCCACGCCAAAATCAATGCTGAAAATTAATTTGACCAGAACTATAGAAGGCGGAAAATAAATTTGACCTAAAATACATTCGGCCGAAAGTAAATCTGATAAAAAATAAATTCGACCACGTTAAAAACAAAGCTGAAAATTGATTCGGTCCAAAATAAACAAGGCGAAAAATGCATTCGGCCGAAAGTAAATCTGAACAAAAAAAAAAATTCGGCCATATGAAAAACAAAGCTAAAAATTGATTCAGCCCAAAATATGCAAGGCGGAAAATAAATGATCTTTTTTGGCCGAATAAGAAATTTTCGGCCGAGGTGTAGCCGAGGCCAAGTAATTTCTAGTTACTGCCGAGGTGCACACAACATTTTTTAGGTGACTGTCTCATCGAGTAAAGCCAATATTGTTATACTTTGTTTTTGAAAAGAAGCTTAATTAAATGTAAGAATTGTTTCAAATTTTTATTGATTAAATAAAAATCCACCATTAACTAATCAAATTTGTCACTTACCTGTGAGCGAAAAATTTCCCACAAACAGTACAAGGAAACGGCTTCTCTCCGGTATGCGTTCTTTTATGCCTGTTCAGGTTTTCCAGCGTAAGGAAACTTTTGTCGCACGAATCGCAACTGAACGGTTTTTCCCCCGTATGCGTCATCAGATGCCTCTTAAGATTTTGCGAAGACGGAAAACCCCTCATACATATCTCGCAGGTAAACGGGCGTACTCCTAAAATAAGCGCATTGCTGGGATCAAATTCAAATTGGAACAAAATACAGGGTTTGGCAAAACTCTCGTAGTTCTATAACTACTATTATGCAAATCCTAAAAGATTTATTTACTGGTAGCCAGTAAATCGTAAAGTTTTGCATAATAGGAGTTGTAAAACTAGAACAGAAATTTGCCGGACCCTGTATAGTATAATGATAATAATTTAAGTACCTGTATGTGAATTGGAATGCCGCCTCAAATGACTAGCATTAGTGAACGCCTTATCGCACAGCGTGCATTGAAATTCCCTAACGTTTCCGTGAACTTTTAAATGAATATTCAACGAAAATAAATTCTTGTAGCTCTTCCCGCAAGTGTCGCAGGGAAACGGGTTGTGAGGCCCTTCGTCGTGAGTTTCCATGTGGGCTAACAATTGTTTGGTACTCTTCATCACTTTCACGCACACCGGACATGGTACTGATCGTTTCGTTACCCGTTCGTCTTCGTGAGATTTTTTGTGTTTTCGTAATCTCGCTTTGGTTTTAAAGGCGCTATTGCAAAAATCGCAAATGTATGGCCGTTCACCTTTAAATAAGACAGTATTTATAAAGATAAAACATCTATGTAGGAAAGAATTAACTAAAATTGTGTGATGTACATAAATATTATTATTAATTCCAGATAATACCGCATAAAATGTACATGTAATGCCAAGAGTGAAAGACCCATCAGGTAGAAAAAAATGTGCATAAGTCTTCTATTTTACTTGCAACAAGAAAAATTGCTAGCTAAAAGGGATTTAAAAGATAGAAATTGTCTAAATGTACCTGAATGTGTTTTGATGTGATCCTCTAAATGCGCGAACTGGGTAAACTTTCGTTCGCACGTGAAACATTCAAATCGCCTTTCCCCCGTATGTATCCTCATGTGTTTACTCAAATTTCCATTCACGGAAAATTTTTTCGCACAAACACTACATGAGTACGGTTTCTCGCCGGTATGCTTTCGGGCATGGACGCTTAATTGAGTGTTATCCCTTAAAAATAAAACAAAAAACTGCTAAAAAATAGAAGAATATGTACAAAAAGTTAATTTTGAATCAAAATATATCGCCGAAACTATGATGAACTATGGTATGTTAAATAGAAAAAAATTACTCCTCATTAACCACCAGCCCTCTTTAATACAACAGGTATGGCTCAGGTACGATTGCTATTAAATTTCTGGTAAAGGAAGCAAATGTAACGAAACGGCGATTAATTTAAAAATAATTTTAGGAGTGTAGTTTTGGCAGTAATCTAAGTAAAAAAGAATAATAAAAATACAGGTCTGTATTAAAACAATAAAATTTATAGTTACCTTGCATTAGCAATAATAAAAAATGTACCTGAAGTTCTAAACGTTTTTTTTTTTAAACGAAAATATAAAAAAAAATTTCAATAATTGGCTAGCATCTCGATAGAAATCATCACATAGCTTACCTGCGGTTACCAAAAGGTAGACGAAATTATATTTTGCTGACAAATCCGAAATTAACCCCTACACTTAGATAAACTCACCCCGTAAAGATGTAGAAACTACAAAGAAACATAATCAGGGGTAATATCGTCCTAGAAATTCGAGAGAATCTTCCTCGTGCTAACCAAAGGCTAGAAAAAAATCATTATCGACGTAGGGCCACGGGAACCACCCCTTTATTTAAATAAACACCCTTTAAAACCTTAAAAAAATTCAAAAAAATTCAAACAAGCCTAGTATAGACCTGACAATTCGTGGCAATCTTTCTCGTGACACCTTCAACCTAAAAAAAAAATCATCATCGACATTGGGCCACGGGAACCACCCCTTTACTTGAATAAACACACCCTCTAAAACCTTAAAAAAATTCAAACAAGCCTAGTATCGACCTGAAAATTCGTAGCAATGCCTCTCGTGACAACTTCAAGCTAAAAACAAATCATCATCAATATTGGGCCACGGAAACCACCCCTTTACTTGAATAAACACACCCTCTAAAACCTTAAAAAATTCAAATAAATTCAAACAAGCCTAGTATCGACCTGAAAATTTATAATAATCCCTCTCGTGGTACCTTGAAGCTATAAAAAAAATCATCATCGACATAGGGCTACGGGAACCACCCCTTTATTTAAATAAACACCCCTTTAAAAACCTTAAAAAATTCAAAAAAATTCAAACAAGCCTAGTATAGACCTGACAATTCGTGGCAATCTTTCTCGTGACACCTTCAACCCTAAAAAAAAAATCATCATCGACATTGGGCCACGGGAACCACCCCTTTATTTGAATAAACACACCCTTTAAAACCTTAAAAAATTCAAAAAAAATTCAAACAAGCCTAGTATAGACCTGACAATTCGTGGCAATCTTTCTCGTGACACTTTCAACCTAAAAAAAAAAATCATCATCGACATTGGGCCACGGGAACCACCCCTTTACTTGAATAAACACACCCTCTAAAACCTTAAAAAATTCAAATAAATTCAAACAATCCTAGTATCGACTTGAAAATTTATAATAATCTCTCTCGTGGTACCTTGAAGCTATAAAAAAATTATCATCGACATAGGGCTACGGGAACCACCCCTTTATTTAAATAAACACACCCCTTAGAATCTAAAAAATTCAAATAAATTCAAACAAGCCTAGTATCGACCTGAAAATTCGTAGCAATGCCTTTCGTGGTTCCTTGAAGCTAGAAAAAAATCATCATCGATATAGGGCCACGGGAACCACCCCTTTATTGAAATAAACACACCCCTCAGAATCTAAAAAAATTCAAACAAGCCTAGTATCGACCTGAAAATTCGTAGCAATCCCTCTCGTGGTACCTTGAAGCAAGAAAAAAATCATCATCGACATAGGGCCACAAGAACCACCCCTTTATTGAAATAAACACACCCCCTCAGAATCTAAAAAAATTCAAACAAGCCTAGTATCGACCTGAAAATTCGTAGCAATCCCTCTCGTTGGTACCTTGAAGCAAGAAAAAAATCATCATCGACATAGGGCCACGGGAACCACCCCTTTATTGAAATAAACACACCCCTCAGAATCTAAAAAAATTCAAACAAGCCTAGTATCGACCTGAAAATTCGTAGCAATCCCTCTCGTGGTACCTTGAAGCAAGAAAAAAATCATCATCGACATAGGGCCACGGGAACCACCCCTTTATTGAAATAAACACACCCCTCAGAATCTAAAAAAATTCAAACAAGCCTAGTATCGACCTGAAAATTCGTAGCAATCCCTCTCGTGGTACCTTGAAGCAAGAAAAAAATCATCATCGACATAGGGCCACGGGAACCACCCCTTAGAATCTAAAAAAATTCAAACAAGCTATGATTTTATATTCCTTGTGTTCGCAAATGTAAAATGAATTCATTAAAAAAAAAGTATAAAAATGGATTTTTATTAAAGTTATAGTAGTTACTAGGACAGTTTTCAAAAATCAACACTGTGAGTGATAAAAAATCACTTTTTTATATAAAAAATAGATATTAATTACCGAAAAAAAAAATTTATAAGGTCAGTGATTCTATTTTTATCTGACAGTATACTTTTTGTAGCATTTATGTACATACCTATTATGCCTGTCAGGTACAAATTATTGTGACGGAACACGGGATTTTGATTTTTAGGCGAGAGTCTTAGATAAAAGAGACCAGAGATATAACATACACCGGTTTTAAACCTGCGCAAATGTTGCCAATTTCTAAAGAAGGGTTAACGGAGTGGGGGAACTGGGCGGCGACACGCGGCGACCCGAACTCTGTGACAGGGACCGGACTTTGTTTATTAGCATCTTAATGAACTATTAGGTTTATTTAAAAGGTGTTTAATCGAATTTTGTATTATGAAATAAAATTAACGTGATTTTTTAATATCAAACAGATGCCACGACATTTTATGTAAAGAGAAGACCTTTTATAGAATATTTCGTTAGCGTTTATTTACTACGGACTTTTCTGCAAGAGATTACAGTAAAATGTTGAAATAGAATATATTGTTAATAGAGCAAAAAATGTTACTCATTGTCTACGAGTATTATAAAAATAGCATGTGCGCAGGCTAATACTGCAAATCTACCCTTATGAGTTGAACATTATATTTTTTCTACGGCTATTACATATTATTAAAAATTAGTCAAAATTAGAAAATAATGTTTTGTATTGTAACCTCAGAAAAAAGTATATTAAGGCTTCTTTCTTTAAGAATATTAATTATTATAAAGGATGAGTCACATAAAACTAGAAATGCATATGTCTGAAACCAGATAACATTTTAAAATTTAAATCTATTAAAAGTCATTTGGTCGCTAGGGATGACTGATTATCGAAATAAATTATCGATCATTTCAAACAATATATTTTTTGTCATTTCCTTTAAAATCGACTACTTGATTATCTTTGAAAAATCAAAAATAATCGATTAATTAAAAAGCCAATTAACCGATAAATCAGTGTTTACAAAATATAAAATAAATAGAATTATCGTTTATTTTAAATAATCGATTATTTTCAAATAAACCATTTTTTTTCGTCCATGGAAACAGATTATTCTATAATCTTTGAAAAATCGAAAATAATCGAATAATCAAAAATAATCGATTAATTAAAAAGTCGATTAACTGATAAATCGATTTAAAAAAAAACAGAATGATCGATTATTTTAAATAATTGATTATTTTCGATCAATCGATTATTATCAATAATCTATTTTTATTGTATTTCCTTTAAAATCGTTAATTCGATTATCTTTGAAATACCGAAAATAATCGATAATTCCAAAATAATCGCCTAATCGAAAATAATCAATTAATTAAGAAGCCGATTCTATGATAAATCGATTTTCGAAAAAATAAAACGAATTATCTATTATTTTCTAATAATCCTTTTTTCATATTTCCTTTGAAAATGATTATTCGATTATCGAAAATAATTGATCATTAAAAAGCTGATTATCCAATAAATCGATAATTTAAAAAAAATAACAAAAATATCGATTATGTAAAATAACCGATTATATTCAATCGATTATTTTCATATATCTTTGAAAAATTGAAAATAATCAAAAAACCGATTAAACGATAAATCGATTATTTTGAATAAATCTACTTTTTTTGTATTACCTTTAAAATCGATTAATGCATTATCTTAAAAAAAAACGAAAATATTTTATTAAAAACAGCGGATAAATCGATTTTCATTAAAAAATATCAGAATTATCGATAAATCGATTATTTTTGTAACCCCTATCGATCGCTTGCTTTTATCTGAGCATTTAGCTCCAAAATTAAGAGATTCGGATTTTTTGATCCAGTTATCTTTGAAATCGCATTCGATTGTATAATAAATAAATATTGCTAAATTTTGGATTTTTTTTAGTAAACGAAAATTATGTTCGAGTTGTTTAGGGGTTTGTAATGTAACATTTTATTAACGTGACTAAGGGTCGATTCCACCGTTGTGTTAAACGAAGTTTAAAATGACATTTTTACATTAACACTGTCATTTTAATCTCCGTTTAACACAACGGTGGAATCGGACCTAACTCCTGTAACTTTAGTATTTTTTTTGGGCTTATACTAGATTACTTTGTTTTAAGACTGAAAATTCAATGTCACTTTCGATTTGACCGCAAATAAGATGAACCTTGAAATTTTAAGTAGGTCATCCTGTATTTCATCTAATATTCTTATAAAAATACCTTATAAAAATAAAATTTAGCTAGCAACTATGATTCTTTGCCTCTTATTTATCTACCAAAAAGGCCTAAAAACTACCTTTAGAAAACATTCTTATAAAACTACTTACTATTTATTTAAATTAAATGTTCAAAATTTTACCCTTTTGTAAATTTATGTAAGTAATATGAAATCTGATTTCTGATGCTTAATATTTATTGAAACCCCTTAATGCGGATCTGAAGTATTCAGCTCAGAGAATCATGGCGCTTTATGTCAAAACGTTAATAAATATTTACCGCTGAAAACGAATATATTCATAACAGTAG